CACGAGGGTCCTAGCACCAGCAACGTCCATCCACCCTGTCACGGGGGCTACGCCCGGCTCGGGGCGCGCCGGTGACTTAATGGAGCAGTATGGGTTCGTGACATCTATTGCAGGTTTAAATCAAATATATATTTTAAATGTATCACCCTCCAGGCTGTAGTCAGATGTTCACACGACGGATCACACGCGTGAAGGATGCGGATATCACAGAACGACCACCGAGATACCTTGTTCAAGTTGGCCTCTGGTCCACACGCACAGTCGAAGGCGGCGCTCTCCCGCTCGCTCCGCACCATCGTGAGCTTCGTCACGTGGCCGTCAACCCTTTATTGACATTCTCACCGCTGGAATTTGGCGGAATCAAATGTAACGCGGTGTGTGCGTTGAGTGTAGTGTCACTGGTGGCCGGGCTGAGGCCATCAACTCACTGCCCTCGAGGACATCGACCTCGAAGGCGGTGGCCGAAACCTCGAGTCACACGCAGGCCCTCAGCAGCGGCGGCTCGGCGCACGAACCTCTGAGCCATCACGGCCACCCGAAGAAGCGAGTTTTGATTCCCGTCTACCCACGCATTCCTTAAACAAGCCGCAATGCCCCTGCGGGGTGAAGTATGGTCAAACAACCCGCACGGGTGGCACTGGAGAGGGAGGCTTTCGTCCAGTAGCTGATTGACAAAGGGCTGTAAATCGTGATGATGTCCTTGAACCCTGGACCTTGCACGGCGGTGTTGTTTTTCTATGGCATTAAAGGACAAGGGAAGTCACGACTAGCTGGCCACAATCCCATCTTCTCGGCCATTCTGAGAGGAAGCTGAGAATCCGTTGTGGCTTTCCTCGTGACAATCGGGTGACGTCGGCCAAGCGAGTTTCCACGATTGACCTCTGCTGCTACTGCTCACCCCCCGCCTCGGGTCGCAGAGGGCCTCTCCGCCGCGACCCTTCCAGACGTTAATGCAGGGAAAACCAGAGCCATCCTCACCTCTCCCATCAACACCATCCGCAACACCGTTTTCAAAACCATCCTCACCACGCGCACTCTGCGAGTCCATGGGTCCCTGTGGAGGTCCGAGGGACCCTAAGTGGCGGTGTGCGTCTCCAAGTGGGGCCTCGGGGCCCTCGCGATATTCGAGTGGCCGGAGGGGAGTTCGTGTGGGTGGCGGGAGCGGCGTGGGGGACGCGAGAGATTCCGGTTCCTCTCCGCCTTTCCCTTCTTCTTTTAGCGGCGGTGAATGTGCAGCGAACCCGAGCGCTGCTGTGGCTTCCGTGTGGCTCCGTGGTTGTGAGCGAGTCGACATCTCGCACCATGCACCGCTGAGCTACGCCACTGTTCACTTGCATCATTCGCGGGAGCGTTTGAGACATTTACCAGGAGGCGGCTACTCCTGAAACCCGTGCACTGGCTCGCTCCCTCCACGCGGACCAACGCCCCAACAACCAAACCACAGCAACCGTACGAGCCCTGCCCTCCCCCTGTACCCCTCCCACCTTCCCCTCCCCGCAACCTGAATCCTCACCGATCACACGGAGCCACAGCCTCACCTGCAGACAGGGACCCGGTGGTGCACCACTCTCCACCGCCACCACTCTCCACCGCCACCACTCTCCACCGCCACCACTCTCCACCGCCACCACTCTCCACCGCCACCACTCTCCACCGCCACCACTCTCCACCGCCACCACTCTCCACCGCCACCACTCGCGCGGCGAGGCACCCACACCCAGACAACCCTGATGCATCCCATGGGACACCGTGACCACCAAGACCACTAAGACCACTGACACCACCGTGACCACCGAGACCAACGTGACCACCGAGAGCAACGTGACCATCCAGACCACCGAGACGAGTTGTTGACCAACGAGGCGCTCGAGGAATTCCAGCTACTCGAGAAACCCAGAAAAGCGAAGTGAAAGAGTCGCCCACCCCCCCCCCTCTCTCACGCGCCATCGCAGTCCGTCCGGTCAGCTCGGCTGTCGAAGTCAAAACGCGCGCGGCCAGAAGAAACCACGCGAAGCGACAACTTCCTCGGGAATGTGCAGGCAGATTGCACATCGTGCATCTAGCAACACCATGCCCCCCACCCCCTCCTCAACCCCGTTCTATTTTAAAGTGCACCCATTAAACACGGCGGACAATCGCTCGTCACTCCACATTCTCATGGTGCACTCACTGATAATATAATACAGTACGGGTAAATATCACGCCATTCTGCGCATTTCCATCGTGCACCCAGTAATCGTGGTAGCCTATGCCCATATAGACGCATTTTAGAAGTGCACCCAAAAACACATGGAACAGAGGTGGCCTGGTGGTTCGGAGATCAGAGCGCCGAGCCGGCACCGCCGAGTGCCTGGGTTCAAATCCGGGTTTCAACCACTCGTGATTGAACCGGGCTCTCCGGTACGAACCAGGAATACTAAAGAACATGCCCCCGTGTTATGCAGCATCTTTGACGCCAACCGCATCTCAAAAGTCTACCGCGGGACTTGTGACGCGCCGCGCAAGGTTCCTTACGGAGGCGCAAGAGCCCACAGACGAGCGGGAAGGCAGCCAGCACCGGCGCCACCAACGATTGCTCAACCTCTGGGGTCCGACCTTGGGATGTTTGACCAACCCCATCAATGGCGAGTGCTTGTACACGTGGGAGGAAAACCGAGGCAGTCGGGAGAAAGCCCACGCGTGTCATGAAGGGATCTCAGGAGTGGTTCTGTGATATCTACATTCGCGGGACGTTCTCTGACACGGGGTGGTGATGCATTGCTTACTGCGGGAGATGTCAGCAGGAACTCTCTCCGGTGACATCTAAAGAGAGAATAGCAGGCGCCAGACGACCCCTGCACAGTCCCAGAGTCTGCCAGTCTCCCCGAGTTAACCTGGCGGAGCTGACCCATCAGGGTGGACCACCTGTGTTGGGTGGACCACCTGTGTTGGTCGGCCTCGTTAATGGGTCACGACGAACAACGTCGCACAGATCTTTAGCGGAGACTCCGCTTCAGGGTTGGCCGACGGCATGCAGCAGCCCGGCCGAATTTGTCTCACAAGCCGCTCGCCGAGTCGTAGTTTGCTTCTATCGGTCAGTCCGTCGTGTAGGACTTCATGCCGGCTTCATGCCGGCTTTCAGCTGGAACGCAGCTCCTCCAGCAGCCCACAGAGACAATCCAAGTCGTCGTCACGGCAGGGGGGAATGTGCCCAAAATGCTTCGGGTTTTCAGCAACACCGGGAGGAGGAGGCATGTTGCAGATCCCGAGCACCAGTCGACAATTTTAGTTCCGACATTTCGCTGGAGATTGCATCCAGCAATGCCAGCTGTTGAACAACAGTTCAGCTTCCGCGAGCGATGGACAATCGCTCCATCGCTACACAAAACACCACAGCTCTCTCCATAACACCACAAAAACACCACAGCTCTCCATAGCTACACAAAGACACCACAAAAACACCACAGCTCTCCACAGCTACACAAAAACACCACAGCTCTCTCCATAACGCCACAAAAACACCACAGCTCTCGTGAGATCCAAATTTGTTAACGCCTGATGATGCTGAGTGCAATCTCCGGCGAAACTTCGGGATATACAATTTTCAAATGTTGCTTGGGCTTTTCAACATCCCTCCTCATCCTTCGGTGTTGCCGATATAAACCAAATGACTTGGCACATTTCCCCATAATGTGGCAACTTGATTTGCTGTCACTGGGTGGCGGAGGGCTCTAATTAAAACTGGCACCGGACCCACACGATGCAACCCAACAGAAACACATCATGAATCGGTGCAATCGTGGCCATCAAAACGATCTGTGGTTCACTGCCGAAAGGCAAGCTGACGGAGACATTGTTCCGCAAGCCTCGGAACGACACACACGATATTTTTAGCGGGTAGTATTCTTTGTCACCTCTGTGTTTCACTCTATCTCGCAACTGCCATGCCGGGTATGCACTTCCTCGTGTTTCTCTGCGCACTTCTCGGCTCGCGTGGCGCCTTCATCGCGAGTGCCCCGCGCGTTCTGCAGAGGCAGCTCGCCAGCTCGCCAGCGGGCGCACACGGAGCCGGCGCGCTCCTCGCTCTCCACATGGCGGCGAGGACGTTCGTCGATGTCAACCTTGCCAAAGCGCCCCAGCCTGCTCTCGTCCACCTCGTTAGTTCATTATTTGATGCCGATCCCCCCTCCAATAATAGTCCTGGGCATAATGACTCTGCGGTCTTTTCCCATTGCGCATCTCCGATAGGAATCGAGTCGCGCAGTCCCACTCCGCTCTTTGCGATTCTTCTTGCCCAGTAGTTTGTGTGGTCTAGCCCGAGGATGCCGCGTGGACTCCCACGGGCGGCCGCGGCCCGGAGCTCCATCGGCCCGAGCCTCGCGCTACTCACGAATCGCACGCACGACTCCCTTCCCATCATCAGCAGCAGCAGCAGTTAACAGAGAAACTCGCTTGCTGTGGACTGACGCTGAAGCCGGTAGATCGCTGGCGGTGCGCACACACTCGCACGTGAACAGCGGCAGTGATCATACAGCGTGGAATAAGAGATGGTCAGCAGAGCCCTGTTTGCGAGCATCAATTAACGTCGGCGTGGTAAAATCGACAGGATGGACCCACGCACGGTCGCCTTTGTATCTCCATTGCTGAGTTTATCGACCAAAGCGCCGCACAAAGGAGCCCTACAATTTTAGCCCGAGTCGACCTAGGGGAAGCCCAACCCAGCATTCATATTGTTGGCCTAATGGCCAGGCTGGATTCACAGCCACGCACGACACCAGAGGTAATCGGGTATCTAAAGCAGGGCCGGGCCATCCCGAGCTCGGCTCGGCCTAAATTGGAACAAACGCCGTGCTCACATTGCGGAGGCAGTGATGTACAAAGCGCGGACACGACACAAACCCAACACACTCGTGAAGCACACCGACTTCATGGAAACAATGTATAAAAGGCAACGTTTCAGGCAATGTCCCTTCATAGCACATGGTACGTGCACAGTTGCGGTCCGGGCGGTTCCGACTTACGGTGGAGGCCTTAATAGGTGCTCGCAGACAGCCTCGCTGTATTCACCGGCAGCTGTGTCGCCTTCTCTGTGTGAGAGATCGTGCAAGAATGCGAGATCAGCTGATTCATTCACCTCGCACGTAACGGCTCGGCGGGAGCTACAATTATATTATCATAATTATTTGATAATTAATTGTATGAGCAACGGGGAGCTGATTAACTGCACGTGTTGCCAGGTTCATCAGGCGTGGCGCCTCCAATCAAGAGCCCCGAGGTGAATGAGCGAACCTGCTGTGAGGGGCTATACGAGGGATTGTGGTCTTTGTGTGTCTTGTCTGTGCTTGTGTCTGTGTGGGGGGGATCGGTGGCGCAGTGGTGAACGCACTGCGCTGTGAACCCGGCGATTCGAGTTCGATTCCCGCTCATAGTCAACAGCAGTGGTGAATATTTGACCCATTCCGAGCTCAACTCAGCTTTAAATGAGCACCTGGTGCCGTATGCTAACATCAGCAATGGGGAGACAAAGGTGGCCGCGCGGGGTGCTGGCCACCCATCCCTACGTGTTCCGTGTCGGCATTCAAAGGTGCTCCTCGCTAACAGCACATTCCGCGACCATCTCAAGGCGTGCACAAATAACGAACATGAGGCAACCATGAGCCACAGGCAGTGTTTTATTGGCACAGTTCGTGAGCACCGCGTGATCGGCACCCAGATGTGATGAGGACTCCATCTGGAAATCTCACAGAGCAACGCCCCCCCTCCCCACGAAAAACAATCTGCAAGTAGCATTTTACTCTTGACACGACCAGAGGCAGAATTCGCCACACTCTACGATGAGATCGCTCGCCACACGTCAATCAAGATGACATACGTTATATAGACTGCAATTATCATATATATGTACTGTAATTGAGGTATAATTATATATATACACCATCATCTTACTTTAATTGAGAACCCCATTAAATCTGTTTAGTTTGCTAATTTTGCTGTCCTTCCCCCGCACGGGTGGCTGCGTGCGGTGCGAGAGAAGTTCAACGCAGTGAGTGCACTTGGGAGGGGCGCTGACATCCCGGATTGAACCCAGGATCTCGGCGGGTAAGGTAATGCTGGGAGTGAGATGTAGGGGGTGAGATGATCCAGGCTGTTAAGTGCTGGCGGGTGCTGGGATAGAGATGATGTTGGGAGTGAGATGATACTGGGAGTGAGATGATGTTGGGAGTGAGATGTTGGGAGTGAGATGATGTTGGGAGTGAGATGATGTTGGGATAGAGATGATGTTGGGAGTGAGATGATGTTGGGAGTGAGATGATGTTGGGAGTGAGATGATGCTGGGAGTGAGATGATGTTGGGAGTGAGATGATGTTGGGAGTGAGATGATGTTGGGAGTGAGATGATGCTGGGAGTGAGATGATGTTGGGAGTGAGATGATGTTGGGAGTGAGATGATGCTGGGAGTGAGATGATGTTGGGAGTGAGATGATGCTGGGATAGAGATTATGTTGGGAGTGAGATGATGTTGGGAGTGAGATGATGCTGGGTGCTCTCGGCTGGCTCCAGGGTGTTGATGCAGGGCGCCGGTGCTGCTGGGTGTCTACGACCTCTGCATGGTTTGTGGAGCCGGGGCGTCTCTGAGCTCCTGGGAAACAGAAGGGGGCGAGCCGTGTTAAATTCACACAGACTGACACACACTCAAAGACAAACACTGACGGACTGTTGGGGCGAGTGCTTTGAGCGAACACCTACGAAGGCCGGCACGGAACACGAGGCGGTGGGTGGCCAGCACCACGCCCGGCCACCTTTGTCTCCCTAGTGGCGATGTTCACACTCGCCAGGTATTGATTTGAGGCCGAGTCGACCTACGGGAGGACCAGGGTCGGTTCAGATAACCATCACTGGTGTTGGTCGTAAATAGGAATTGAACTCTGGTGTCTGGGTTCGGAGCGCAGCGCGCTACCCGACGCGCCCACATGCAGGAGGAGGCCCCCCCTCTGCTCTCCCACGTGGGTTGCAGGGCTGACGGTGCCCTGCATCGACGAGGGAGTCTGTCTCACCCGCGCGATCTGGACCATCGTGCACCACGGCAGGAAGCAGGCGAGCAGCAGGTCCTCGCCGAACGAGCCCTGGGCACACGCGGACACGGACACACACACACGGACGTGAACACCACACACACCAGCTGCCGTTCGCTACTGCGTGGCGGTGACGTCACCACGGCGCTTGTGCCAGGCTAGGTGCACTTCGAGGCCACGTGACGAAGGCTCGCTGCTGGCAGGAGGCGACGGGACAGACCCAGATACCATAGGTTGACCGACTGAGATGACCGGCAGATGCACCACCAGCTGTACTCCCCACTGCGCCATCTCGCTACGCTTTTATTCGTCATGCGCTCCGTTCGTTGTTGTGAACGTCGCTCCTCACAGCACACAGGCAAGTACACACACACACGTAGACAGACGTATCTCTAGACAGAGAGACGTCTGTCTAGAGAGAGCGACGTCTGTCTAGAGAGAGAGACGTCTGTCTCTTCCACACTTCTCTCCGCGACTCCGCACCCTGGGGACGAGGAGGGAGCTGGGACCGGAGTCTCGGCGCACCGAGGCACCGCAATGTCTCGTGGAGGCTCACGGACATTCCAAGACGCGTACCGCACAGTACGTGGCCTGCCTGGCCACTACGGTGAAAAACAAGTTCAACATACATGACCACTCGGCACTGCTGATGGGGGTGATGATAACGGTGGTGACTGTGATGGTGCACACGGCGCTTCGCTGCGATGATGGTGATGCTGTGTGCTTGATGACGGTGGGGGCGTGCGGGGGCGATGATGATGATGATGTTGATGGTGGTGTTACCGTGGCGTGGAGACCGTGAAGTGGCTGACGTGAGACACAGATGTCGCCGAGGGCGAAAGTTACGGTGCGGCTTCTGCTGCTGATGACCACCACCAACAACAAGGCAGGTGGCAGTGCTGATGAGAGATGAAGGCGGCGCTATAGCCGCTGCGTTGCAGGTGGTGCTGTTGTTGAGATAAGAGTTTGTGGTGGTGACGATAGCGGGCATGTGAGATGCTGGTGCTGATGGTGACGAGCATGCCACGTGCGCTGGTGATGATGGAACTGATTATGGTGGTGCAACTGATGGTGTCGCTGCTGTTGCTGCTCACATCGATCCCGCGCATCTCCCGCGTCTTCTTGCGGCTCTGAGCGGTGAACCACCACCCAGCAAAGGGATAGACAACGCAGCAGGCGATGAAGCTGCCCTGGCCCGTGTCCTCGGCGTTGTGTCCGGCCGTCACGCACGGGGCCAGCCACGTGAGCAGGCACAGGCTGCAGTTCTCGAAGCAGCCGCACAGCTCGAAGGTCCACTGGCCCATGGCGGCGGGAGCGGGCGAGGCTGGAGGTGGCCCAGGAGTGACACTGCGAGCTCCCGGTGGGCTTGGACGTCCGAGAGGAAGAGGATTTGACAATGAAGTGGAATCCCTCCACGTTTTATACGGGGGAGGGGGGGGGGTAGCTCCACACCCACCCCGTCTACGCAGTTCCACCCCCAGTCCTAGCCTCAGCTTCGCTCTCCCGGCTGTGTGTGCGTGGGAGGAGGTGGTCACGAGTCGTGGGCGAGAGACACGCGGTGGAGGTTTGCAGCGAGGCAGGACGAGTGGGTGGGTGGAGGCGAGGTGGATGCGGGGTGTGGAGGAGGGGTGCTCGATTACACCACGAAGCGTCATCGCAGCATCGCACCGTCTAGGGGGCAATGACAGCGCGACCAGACGGGTGGTGGTGGTCGTGGTGATGGTGGCTGCCTGTAATCCCGCACTGTGGAGGCAGCGAGGGCTGGTGGACGACCACCACAGGTTGTCCATCTCCCTTCCCCGTGGGCGTCAAGGAGCCGTTCCCTGGCTCGAGAAAGCAGCACAGCAAACGTCCCACGCACGTCGGGGGGGGGGGGGGGGGGTGAACACTCGAAACCCGCAAAGTTCACAAAGCCCAATCGCTGTGCTGTTGTCGCCTGGGCCACCACGTGGCCCAGAAGGTCAGGAAGTTTCACAGAGAGATCTTCGTGATCCACCAACCCTTGGCCTGCACGGCCACTGAACCGCGAGCTGTACGTTCACGGTGCCACCGCAAGCGCCGAGGCCGAGAGGCGCGGGACGCAGCAGAAGGAAGCGACCGCGAGGCGGTGGTGTCGACAGCTTCGTCCGTGATGACCGATTGACCTTGACCGACAAAACAAGGTCACCTCCATATTTTAGACTCTTGTCCAACACGCTGGGTCGCGGTGCTCTGGGAGAGTTCCGAATGGATTCTTCACCTCGCGACGCCGAAGACAAAAAACCAAGGGCCGAGAGGAAGAATACTGGACCCGGTGTGAACACGGTGAAAGCGCTGCCCTCTCCACTGCCGTGTGGACCAGACGTCACTCGAAGAGGGATTAAGATGTAGTTCAGGGGTATCCATTTTCACGGCCCATTCCAGAACACGTGGGGGGGGGGGGGCTCGCACCACCACAAGAATCGTCTCGGGACGCCGCCAGCAATCGCGATAAATCTCGGAAGTCTCCTCCACTCCCCCCACCACCACCGTGCCCCCCACCACCACCGTGCCCCCCACCACCACCGTGCCCCCCACCACCTCCGTGCCCCCCACCACCACCGTGCCCCCCACCACCTCCGTGCCCCCCACCACCTCCGTGCCCCCCACCACCTCGGTGCCCCCCACCACCACCGTGCCCCCCACCACCACCGTGCCCCCCACCACCTCCGTGCCCCCCACCACCACCGTGCCCGCGTCCCCCCGAGTGAGTCAGCAGTCTGGGGATGCCGGCTCTGCAGGCGCGATCACAACTCCACGTTTATTTCCTTGCTCTGTTTTTCGTACAAAAGTCCAAACGCGCGACCGGCCAAGTGCCTGCTTCAGTTCGCCCAGGCGCCGCGCCCGCCATCATCACCACCATCGCAAGCCACGACGTTACTAAACAATACGCGAACACGGCGACACAATGAGAACACAACCTACAACCACGACACAAACATTTCCGACACCCGGCTTGACACTTTCAACACCTGGATGGACAAACCCCACCCGCTCCACCGCCGGACACTCACGAAGCTGGTTTAAACAGCAGCCATCTAAACGCAACGTGAACAGCAGTTTAGTTTAAACTGATGATGCCGATGTTGTTAACCAGGCTAGACGCCTGCATTCACCTGTGAACACACCACGCCGTCTGAACCCGGGCTAAACGCCAGCCAATTTGGTTCACGCAGGGGCCCGAATCCCGGCTCGGGGGTCACGCACGGGGGTCACGCACGGCGCCGACTCCAGCAGCTTGCGGACGTCTCTGCTCGGCGAGCGTGACGTCACCGCGATCGCCGTGACGTCACCGCGATCGCCGTGACGTCACCGCGATCGCCGTGACGTCACCGCGATCGCCGTGACGTCACCGCGATCGCCGTGACGTCACCGCGATCGCCGTGACGTCACCGCGATCGCCGTGACGTCTCCGCGATCGCCGTGACGTCACCGCGATCGCCGTGACGTCACCGCGATCGCCGTGACGTCTCCGCGGACCGCGCACTCGGGGGGAGAGAGGGTCGCGCCGATGCTCCTGCGGCAAACGGAGCGGCGTTTTGTTTCCACGATCCCGAGCTGCCCCGCGCCGCCCGATGGAAACGAAAACGACAAAACCACCAGCCGTGAGATTTACTGCAGCTTCGCGACTCAAGCCAGGAGACGGCGCAGCACGCAGGGCGCTCACCGTCTAATGCACAGATTGGTTGGAGCGCTTTCCCGTTGGCACGCGGTGGGCACTACGGCAAGAGGTGAACAGGGTGTGCGTGCACGTGTCTGTGTGTGCGCGTGCGAGAGTGCACCGTGTGCGGGTGTGCATGCGAGAGAGAGCTGGGAGCAAGCCACGTACATTTTTGAACTCGGGGTTTTATTAGAAAAAGGGAGAGCGGGCGAATGTTTGTCTTCACAGTCTGGCTGCCGGGGCCGGGAGAGGGGACGAGCGGAGAGCGCGGTGCCGCCGCCCCGCGTGTCCACGCGTCTCTCGAGCTGCTGTCGTCGTCGATGTCGCCGATGTCGTTCGCCTCGGGTCACCGCGCCGCGCTCAGAACATGTCTCCGCCCCCCATGCCCCCCATGCCCCCCATGCCGCCGCCGCCCCCCATCCCGGCCGCCTTCTCCTCCTTGGGGATCTCCGTGACGACCGCTTCGGCCGTGGCGAGCAGCGACGCCACGCCGGCCGCGTCCACCAGCGCCGTCCTCACCACCTGCGCGACGGGGACGGAGGTTGGGGGGGGTGCGGGGGAGTCAGAGTCGCGCCAGCGAGCCACCGCGTTGAGAACGACGCCGCCGGCGAAAATAGCGATCGCACCCCGCCGTCGCGAGACGCTCCAGACGGCAAGACGGACGCACCCCGAACTCGCGCGCGGTGTCGGCGTGGCGATGAACGCGCGCGTGGCCACAAACTCGGAGCCCGGCATCGGGACCGGTCACCACACGCACGCGGCGCCGAGAAGTACGATGCAACCTGCGGCGCCCCTTCCACCACGACCCTCGTCGCCCCCCCACCCCCACCGTGACCCTTGACCCCCAGCCCCCCACGCACCTTGGTGGGGTCGATGATGCCCTTCTCCACCATGTTGACGAACTCGCCCGTCATGGCGTCGTAGCCGATGTCGTTGGCCGACTGCAGGATCTTCTCCACGATGAGGGAGCCCTCCACGCCCGCGTTGCGTGCGATCGTCATCGCCGGCACGCGCAGCGCGTTGCGGATTATCTCGATGCCTGGGGGGGCGGGGGGGGGGGAGAAGAGGCGAGTTGGAGAGTTGACAGATGAAGAGAAATGGCGGGAGGGCGAGGCGAGCGGCTACAGCGACCGAGCGAGTGCGGCGAGCAGGTGGAGCCGGTGCGTGGTGAGCGGTGGACGCAGCAAGCGCGGTCAGCGTTGAGCAGCGTTGCGGTGAGCTTGGCGTTTGTGGAGAGTGCCGTGAGCACTGGCGAGCACTGGCGAGCGGCGAGTTGTAGCGGTGCACGGCGGCGAGCGGTAGCGGCGACCCGCCGGCGCCTCACCGATCTGCTGGTCGCTGTTGGCGGGGGCGATGGCGTCGAGCGCGGGAAGGCAGCGCAGCAGCGCGCAGCCCCCGCCCAGCACGATGCCCTCCTCCACGGCGGCGCGCGTCGCGTTCAGCGCGTCCGTCACGCGGTCCTTCTTCTCGTTCACCTCCACGTCGCTCGTGCCGCCCACCTGATGAGGAGGAGGACATGGGTGGCGACGGAGGAGGAAGTTGTGGCGAGCACATTCCACGCGTATTACTTATTTGCGTTTACTTCCTCGGTTGGGTGCGATATTCACTGTCCACACAGACGGTGCGTACGTTACAAATTTAAATTGTTTGTGTACGTGTCGTGAGCTTGCTACGCATGTGTCAGTGAGTGAGTGGGGTAGCTATCGTACCCGCCTGTGTGCGTTCGCTGTGTGCGCGCGCATGTCCATCGACACCCTTACACGTGAGACCCGGGTGCCAGAGTGTAATTACATGCAAAGAGCCCAGCGGCAGGAGGGAAGATAGCACCCATAATTAGATCATCTTCATCGAGTCTCGTCGACGGTTTCCTCATCATGAGGCTCGGGGATGAGCCGGACCCAGACCGCCGAGCTGCCACGGCCCTGATCATGGGTTCCAATCGCCGAGGCCCAGACAGAGAGCCGTAGACTCACAAAAAGAGCCGTAGACTCACAAAAAGAGCCGTAGACTCTCACAGAGCCAGGCACCGGCTGTGGTTGCACCGGATTCTCTGGTGGAGCCAGGCTGCATGCGACCCCCCCCCACCCGCCGCTCCACGGAGCAACGAGGCCTCGGCTTCGCACGCCGGTAGCCGGGGAGGCGCGAGCGGGGCGAGGGCGCCGCTCACCTTGAGCACGGCGACCCCGTCAGAGAGCTTGGCGAGCCGCTCGTTGAGCTTCTCCTTCTCGTAGTCGCTCGTCGTGGCCTCCAGCTGCTCCACGATCTCCTCGATGCGCTTCTCGATGGCGGCGCGCTCGCCCTTGCCCTTGAGCACCATCGTGTCGTCCTTGGTGATGGTCACCTCGCCCACGCGCCCAAAGTCGTGCAGCTGCACGTCCTCCACGTTCACGGACAGCGCCTCGTCGCCAAACACCTGGGGGCGGCGCGGGGGGAGGTGGCGAGGGCCGACGAGGTGGCGGGTAGGGGTGACGAGGGGACGGCGGACGAGGGTGAAGGGGGGTGTGGGTGGAGGGCGTGATGAGGATGGAGAGGGGATGAGGAGGGTGTGTGGAGGAGAGATGAGAGTTAGTCATTATTATTCCACGTGTTTACCCAGGAAATCTCAACACTCGATATCAGTAGGGTGCTGCCCAGATGTTGCAGTAGGGGGCGATGTTGCTTTGTGCGCGTTTCCCAACTCAGTGAATCCATTGAGTAAATTTCTTATCTGGCCCGTGACGCCGATACAACGGCCGGCAAGCGCCGCTCTCAGCCGGGCCGACAGCGTCCGCGGCTGCACTGCCACCTGCTGGCACCTTGCGGCAAGGACGATCAACCGCCCACGCACGGTGGGAGCAGCGGCATGCGCGCCATCGAAGAGGGAAACCCCCGCGTCGCTACGTACGGTGCCGCCGGTCGCCACCGCCAGGTCCTTGAGAGTGTTCTTGCGGTTGTCCCCGAAGCCCGGGGCCTTGACGGCGCAGACCTGGAGTCCGACCTTGAGTCTGCGGGGGGCGGGGGGCGACCTCGGCTCAGCGTGACCGACAACGCGCGCTCGTCTGGGGACAATCCGTCCGTACGCCCCTCCTTGCGTCGTCCATCACTCCTCCGCCGGCCGTACGGATATCCGTCCCACAATCACCCGAGATGGGGTCAAGGACAGCAGCGAGCGAGCAGGGAGAAAGCCGAGTGACAGGGTTGAGAGAGCGATCAGGTGATTGAGCAGGTGAGAAAGCTGGTGGAAGAGTGAGTGTGAGATCGCGCGTCCCTGCTCATCCCTGTGCATGCGTGCGTACCGGTTGAGCACGAGGGTGCTGAGCGCTTCCCCGTCCACATCCTCGGCGATGATGACGAGCGGCTTGCGCTGCGCGTTGGCCAGCTCCAGCGCCGGCACGATGGACTGCACGCTCGAGATCTTCTTCTCGCTGATCAGCAGGAACGCGTCCTGGAACTCGCACTTCTGGCCTGCACAAAGAGAAATATCCCCCGCGTAGCCTTTAGCGCGCTGTTGGGGCAAGAGCTGTGAGCGAAACTCGGCGCGGCTTGGCTGGGTAAACGAGGGACGTCGTGGTGGTCAGCGAAGGCGTCTCACCCTTTGCCGAGTTGATGAAGTAGGGGGAGATGTAGCCGCGGTCAAACTTCAGTCCCTCGATAATCTGGAGCTCATTGTGCAGGGTTTTACCATCTTGACGTACGCAGCAGCAGCACGGCACACACCACAACCACGGTCACCACCATCATCACCGTTTCCATCGTAACCACCATGGTTACCACCACCTGTACCAACCACCTCTGTTTCTACTATCAGCATCGCCGCCGTCACCACCGCCACCACGACCAGCACCATAATTCACCCACGATCTGTCACAGTACAATGCCACCGTGCAATTCAAGACCCGACTCTCCTCGCGTTGGTACTCTCCATCCCCTACGAGATTCCCGTCCGCCTCGCTCCGGACTCGCATTTCAGACAAAGCAGTCGTGACGGCACAAAACGAACCGATCCGAGAATCGCCTCAACACTGATCGAGGGCGCAGGGACGTCAATCGACCGACCGCTCCACGCACGGAGCTTCGGCCTATCCACTGTGGTGACGCACGTGGCCCGCACGGCACCGCACGCCCATTCCGTGTCACCGCGCCAGGGCGTCTTCACACCCCCGGTGCCCCCGCATGCACGCGCCCCCAACGCCCCCGCACCACAGCGCCCCGTGTCGTCACCTTGACGGTGATGACGCCCTTGCGCCCAACTTTCTTCATCGCGTCCGAGATGAGGTTTCCGATTTCCTTGTCCCCGTTCGCCGAGATGGTGGCCACCTGTCAAGACACCGCGTGCGGACAACGAGCACCGGTAAGCCAGACGGGCGTGGCAGGCGCTGGAGAAGAGTTAGCGAGCACCTATTAAAGGCGGAACGGCACACGAGCGGGTGGTGTAGCGAGGAACTTGGCTGCCCACCCGCCACCCCAACCGTCTTTGTATCCCCGTGCCAAAGTTTTTAAACAGCGTACCCGTTCAATTTCGGGAAGGCCAAAGACTGCTTCAGATATGAGGTGCCACTGATAATTGTGGCTGCGAGATGAACTCGGGTCGGGAGCAAGACAGTGCGGTGCTCTTACCACACAGACGAGCGTGCACATCCACACGTACACAAGATCCCTCACGTGTACAAGATCCCGGACGGATACAAGATCACGCACGTGTACGAGATCCCTCACGTGTACGAGATCCCTCACGTGTACGAGATCCCTCACGTGTACGAGATCCCTCACGTGTACGAGATCACGCACGTGTACGAGATCACGCACGTGTACGAGATCACGCAAGTGTACAAGATCACGCGTGCAGTTTTATAGACCCATGGGGCAGGTGTTTTTTCCAAGCACCTATTAAGGCCGGCATGGCAGATGAGCGAGTGCTACACGCGTGCTACACGCGTGTGCTAAGCACGACGCGAGGCCGTCGCGCGCCGCATCGCCGTGACCACGGCTCAGGCCGTGAGTGATCGATCCCTCCTCCTCGGTCCTCACCGTCGCCACGAGCGCCGTCACCACGAGCACCAGCGCTCACCCGCACCGGCGCTCACCTGTGCTATCTCCTCGGGCGTCGTTACAGGCTTGGAGAGTTTCTTCAGCTCAGCCACCACCGCCTCTACGGCCAGCATGACTCCTGCACACGCACGGTGACGGCGGAAGAGTGAGACGCAGGCACGGGGGGTCCGTGGACACCCCCTGGCACTGAACCCAGTGGGGCCCCCCGGGGCCCCACTGGGTTCAGTGTCGTTTCAGCTCAAATCGGATTAACAATTCCCACAACCAAATTTAAACTTTGACAGTTTAATTCCTTTGGTTGTGGTCAGGTGGTGGAGTGTCTTATGGCACAAATTTGACCCGATTATTACCTAGCCATCTCAAAAATCTATTGTGAATCTTAATATTGGTTACAAAAATGTTACTGTATTACCATTATTACAATAAGAATTCATGATTATTATCACCATTCATGATCAATCCACTGCTGAAATGAAGACCTCCCCAAGCCGACGTCTCTGACAATCCTGTGATACCAAACATCCAAACCACTGCAGGATCCTCCCTGAAAACGAGTCGTGAGCCTCGAGGAATCCTTGCCGGATAAACGACACAGATCAGGGAAGTCGCTGTGCCAGGAGCACGACTCCCTGGCCCTACGACATGATCTCGTCCTGCAGGTGTGAGGACGGGAACCAGTTTCCACCGGTTTCCCGTCCCTGTACTCTACAGGAACCGGTTCGGACCTGTTTCCCGTTCCTTTACTCTTATGGAACAGGTGCGGAGCGGCCCCGTGGTCACAGTTCTTGGTGGCCATACTGCGAGAGTGATCCGGTGCAGCGCCGGTGCAGCGCCAGCCCGTCCTGCTCACGCCGCCCACTCCGCGCATCGCGCCAACAAACTCTCACTGCCCGTGCTCCACCATTGCCTCCACCCCACATGCGCCGAATTACACCATTCCGGCAAATGGACCGATAGCCATAATTTGGGGGCTTTGAATGATTAATGAATTAAACTCACATTGTCGACGAACGTGCGGAGGTTCTGTAATTTACATTCCGCGGCGCGTGCTCCTTCCATTAGGAGTGGCACCGCTCTCGTGAGCACAAGGTCAGCTTAAGTGCAATTACGTAATGGAAGAACCAGCCATCAGCAGGCGCCGAGCGGTTGCGCCGTCGCGTAGGGCACAGCAACGTGGCGGCAAACGGTGCTGCGCTGGTAGGGGGAAGGGGCGGCACAAACCTCTGCGGATCTCCACGGGGTTGGCGCCCTTGCTGATCTTCTCGAAGCCGTCCTTGGCAATGGCGCGCGCCAGCACCGTGGCGGTGGTGGTTCCATCTCCGGCCTCCTCGTTGGTGTTGTTGGCGACGTCCTGCACCAGCTTGGCGCCGATGTTCTTGAACCGGTCCTTGAGCTCGATGGCTTTGGCCACCGTTACGCCATCCTTGGTCACCTTGGGGCTGCCCCAGCTCTGCTCGATGATGACCGTGCGGCCCTGTTCGCGCGCGCCGATGATGCCGCCGCTGTTAGCGGGTGCTCGGCGTGGGAACCCGCGATGGCTCGGGTCGGCGTTCAACAAGAATCACCGATTCCCAAAGACAGGAACCGGAATTGGATGCCAGTGGAATCGTAAACGCACCAATTGGCACATACAAAAATACAAACCGCACCGCGGTAGGCCCAAGTCACCAAGTGGTACGATTGCCCTCGGCTCTCAGTCACAGGGTAAGGGCACAGCCTTACAAATGCTCGCTTACGCTATTGCTGGTGGAAGGCTCCTCCAGCACAGCGTTCTAGAATGGACAGTACTTAGTCTACTTTTTCACCTGAACCCGATGTGTCGAAGAGGTGGGCGTGCCCACACTGTACCAAACCACACGCGACCTGTGTCCCCATTCATGCCGCCGGGATATGGACTCTAACTGGCGTCCTCTGGATCCCAAGCCCCACGTCAATAAAGGCAAACAACCACCACCACCATCACCACCGTGTGTGAGCCCCATAATTCCGAGCCGCACGCATCCTTACTCGAGTGATGCGGTGGCCGCGTGGCACCAAGGGAATTGAAGCACATGTTTGGATCTGTGCAGGGATTCTACCCATGGCTACGAGAGCCCAGAACAAACATTAAACCTGCAGAGAGATACCGAGCTGGGGGGTCAAGGGTCATGCAAAATCCACAAACCCACAAAAAAATAACTAAATTATTGATAGTCAGCGTTTTTTTTCCAGAAAGCAGACAATTAACAAGACAGCGAATGGGCTGAGCAATGCAGATCGGGCTGAGGCGAGCGAGCGGGTAGGAGGCCGGGTGAGCAAATGAGTAAAAGCGTGAAGCTGAGCGAGTGAGCGAGCCAGCCAGTGAGTGAGTGACCTGGTAGGAGGCAGAGTGAGCGAGCGGATGAGAGGGCATTAAGAAAGCGATTTAAGAGGTGCGAGCTCGAGTGAGCAGGCGAGGAGAGGAGCGTGGCCTGTGGAGAGCTAGCAGCGAAAGCGGGTGGGCAAGCGGAGAGGCGGGCGAGTGGGCAGTTGGACGTGCGGGTGAGCTGGTGAGCCAATGAGCGGGCGAGGGCCACCTTGGGCCCCATGGTGACGGCGACGGCGTCGGCGAGGAGGTCCACGCCCTGCAGCATGAGGGCGCGGGCCTCGCTGCCGAAGCGGACATCCTTGGCGTAGGCGCGGGTTCCCCGGGGGGGCGCCAGGGCACGCGTCACGGGGCGCAGGGAGCGCGCGAGAGCCGGCACACGGAGCATCCTTCTGCAGCCGCCGCGGTGGTGGAACAACAACAAAGGGGCAGCAGGAAAACCAGTCAACAATGCGCATCAATAACTCACGTCACGTGCGTTTCAGCGCAAGGTCCCATGCCCAAGCAGCTTTTGTAAACGGGCGTGACACTTGCTGGAGAAGAGAAGGGCTGATGAGGACATGGAGCCGAGTGGACTCGCCGCTTTGAAAGGCACGAGTGCCTCGATGGCTGCCGTTGATCCGCTCAGCGCGCGTGCATCCCCCCCTTGGTTGTGGCCGGGGTCTCTGGGTGACAGGGAGCCTATCGGGGTGGGGGTGGGCCCTGGTAGGAGAGGAATGTGGTTGGGGGCCCTTTGCCCACAACAAATGTTTTACTTGATGGTCCCACTGAGATGCCAACACTCGAGTGTGGGAGTTGTACCGACGGATTCAAATCACCAATGAAAGTGAATTATTCACGAAACTTGTTTGATGAGAACGACATCACCCGCTTAGCCACATATACAGACTGGCGACTCCTAAATTTGGCCCCTGGTAGGGGAAGACTCCTAGAGGGGTAGGGGACCCCTCGTGTACTGGGGTACAGGGCTGAGTGAGACCCCCCAGTGGGGGAAGGGGTCGCGATTAAGAACAAAATCCCTGGTTGAGCGAGACCCCAGTGTGGGTAGGGACCCTAGTGGGTAGGGGTCCCGATGGGTATGGTAGAAATGATGGTTGGTCTCTGCGGGGACCGCTGCGATGGCCAACACCCTGGTGGGTGAGGGGACCTGGTGGGTGAGGGGACCTGGTGGGTGAGGGGACCTGGTGGGTGAGGGGACCTGGTGGGTGGAGACCCAGAGGGTTGGTGGTGGGGGAGGCGTGACTGGATCAGGCGAGCCGAGACGAGGATCTTCTGCTGCTGTTGTTTAGAGAAAGTTCTGGAGTCGATTCCCGCTCATAGTCAACAGCAGTGGTGAATATTTGACCCATTCCGAGCTCAACTCAGCTTTAAATGAGCACCTGGTGCCGTATGCTAACATCAGCAATGGGGAGATAAAGGTGGCCGCGCGGGGTGCTGGCCACCCATCCCTACGTGTTCCGTGTCGGCATTCAAAGGTGCTCCTCGCTAACAGCACATTCCGCGACCATCTCAAGGCGTGCACAAATAACGAACATGAGGCAACCATGAGCCACAGGCAGTGTTTTATTGGCACAGTTCGTGAGCACCGCGTGATCGGCACCCAGATGTGATGAGGATTCCATCTGGAAATCTCACAGAGCAGCGCCCCCCCTCCCCACGAAAAAAAATCTGCAAGTAGCATTTTACTCTTGACACGACCAGAGGCAGAATTCGCCACACTCTACGATGAGATCGCTCGTCACACGTCAATCAAGATGACATACGTTATATAGACTGCAATTATCATATATATGTACTGTAATTGAGGTATAATTATATATATACACCATCAGCTTACTTTAATTGAGAACCCCATTAAATCTGTTTAGTTTGCTTCGTTTGCTGTCCTTCCCCCGCACGGGTGGCTGCGTGCGGTGCGAGAGAAGTTCAACGCAGTGAGTGCACTTGGGAGGGGCGCTGACATCCCGGATTGAACCCAGGATCTCGGCGGGTAAGGTAATGCTGGGAGTGAGATGTAGGGGGTGAAATGATCCAGACTGTTAAGTGCTGGCGGGTGCTGGGATAGAGATGATGTTGGGAGTGAGATGATACTGGGAGTGAGATGATGTTGGGAGTGAGATGATGTTGGGAGTGAGATGATGTTGGGAGTGAGATGATGCTGGGAGTGAGATGATGTTGGGAGTGAGATGATGTTGGGAGTGAGATGATGTTGGGAGTGAGATGATGCTGAGAGTGAGATGATGTTGGGAGTGAGATGATGTTGGGAGTGAGATGATGCTGGGAGTGAGATGATGTTGGGAGTGAGATGATGCTAGGATAGAGATTATGTTGGGAGTGAGATGATGTTGGGAGTGAGATGATGCTGGGAGTGAGATGATGTTGGGAGTGTGAGATGATGTTGGGAGTAAGATGATGTTGGGAGTGAGATGATGTTGGGAGTGAGATGATGCTGGGAGTGAGATGATGTTGGGAGTGAGATGATGTTGGGAGTGAGATGATGTTGGGAGTGAGATGATGCTGGGAGTGAGATGATGTTGGGAGTGAGATGATGCTGGGAGTGAGATGATGTTGGGAGTGAGATGATGCTAGGATAGAGATTATGTTGGGAGTGAGATGATGTTGGGAGTGAGATGATGCTGGGAGTGAGATGATGCTGGGAGTGAGATGATGTTGGGAGTGTGAGATGATGTTGGGAGTGAGATGTTGGGAGTGAGATGATGTTGGGAGTGAGATGATGTTGGGAGTGAGATGATGCTGGGATAGAGATTATGTTGGGAGTGAGATGATGTTGGGAGTGAGATGATGTTGGGAGTGAGATGATGCTGGGTGCTCTTGGCTGGCTCCAGGGTGTTGATGCAGGGCGCCGGTGCTGCTGGGTGTCTACGACCTCTGCATGGTTTGTGGAGCCGGGGCGTCTCTGAGCTCCTGGGAAACAGAAGGGGGCGAGCCGTGTTAAATTCACACAGACTGACACACACTCAAAGACAAACACTGACGGACTGTTGGGGCGAGTGCTTTGAGCGAACACCCACGAAGGCCGGCATGGAACACGAGGCGGTGGGTGGCCAGCACCACGCCCGGCCACCTTTGTCTCCCTAGTGGCGATGTTCACACTCGCCAGGTATTGATTTGAGGCCGAGTCGACCTACGGGAGGACCAGGGTCGGTTCAGATAACCATCACTGGTGTTGGTCGTAAATAGGAATTGAACTCTGGTGTCTGGGTTCGGAGCGCAGCGCGCTACCCGATGCGCCCACATGCAGGAGGAGGCCCCCCCTCTGCTCTCCCACGTGGGTCGCAGGGCTGACGGCGCCCTGCATCGACGAGGGAGTCTGTCTCACCCGCGCGATCTGGACCATCGTGCACCACGGCAGGAAGCAGGCGAGCAGCAGGTCCTGGCCGAACGAGCCCTGGGCACACGCGGACACGGACACACACACACGGACGTGAACACCACACACACCAGCTGCCGTTCGCTACTGCGTGGCGGTGACGTCACCACGGCGCTTGTGCCAGGCTAGGTGCACTTCGAGGCCACGTGACGAAGGCTCGCTGCTGGCAGGAGGCGACGGGACAGACCCAGATACCATAGGTTGACCGACTGAGATGACCGGCAGATGCACCACCAGCTGTACTCCCCACTGCGCCATCTCGCTACGCTTTTATTCGTCATGCGCTCCGTTCGTTGTTGTGAACGTCGCTCCTCACAGCACACAGGCAAGTACACACACACACGTAGACAGACGTCTCTCTAGACAGAGAGACGTCTGTCTAGAGAGAGAGACGTCTGTCTCCTCCACACTTCTCTCCGCGACTCCGCACCCTGGGGACGAGGAGGGAGCTGGGACCGGAGTCTCGGCGCACCGAGGCACCGCAATGTCTCGTGGAGGCTCACGGACATTCCAAGACGCGTACCGCACAGTACGTGGCCTGCCTAGCCTCTACGGTGAAAAACAAGTTTAACATACATGATCACTCGGCACTGCTGATGGGGGTGATGATAACGGTGGTGACTGTGATGGTGCACACGGCGCTTCGCTGCGATGATGGTGATGCTGTGTGCTTGATGACGGTGGGGGCGTGCGGGGGCGATGATGATGATGTTGATGGTGGTGTTACCGTGGCGTGGAGACCGTGAAGTGGCTGACGTGAGACACAGATGTCGCCGAGGGCGAAAGTTACGGTGCGGCTTCTGCTGCTGATGACCACCACCAACAACAAGGCAGGTGGCAGTGCTGATGAGAGATGAAGGCGGCGCTATAGCCGCTGCGTTGCAGGTGGTGCTGTTGTTGAGATAAGAGTTTGTGGTGGTGACGATAGCGGGCATGTGAGATGCTGGTGCTGATGGTGACGAGCATGCCACGTGCGCTGGTGATGATGGAACTGATTATGGTGGTGCAACTGATGGTGTCGCTGCTGTTGCTGCTCACATCGATCCCGCGCATCTCCCGCGTCTTCTTGCGGCTCTGAGCGGTGAACCACCACCCAGCAAAGGGATAGACAACGCAGCAGGCGATGAAGCTGCCCTGGCCCGTGTCCTCGGCGTTGTGTCCGGCCGTCACGCACGGGGCCAGCCACGTGAGCAGGCACAGGCTGCAGTTCTCGAAGCAGCCGCACAGCTCGAAGGTCCACTGGCCCATGGCGGCGGGAGCGGGCGAGGCTGGAGGTGGCCCAGGAGTGACACTGCGAGCTCCCGGTGGGCTTGGACGTCCGAGAGGAAGAGGATTTGACAATGAAGTGGAATCCCTCCACGTTTTATACGGGGGAGGGGGGGGGGGTAGCTCCACACCCACCCCGTCTACGCAGTTCCACCCCCAGTCCTAGCCTTAGCTTCGCTCTCCCGGCTGTGTGTGCGTGGGAGGAGGTGGTCACGAGTCGTGGGCGTGAGACACGCGGTGGAGGTTTGCAGCGAGGCAGGACGAGTGGGTGGGTGGAGGCGAGGTGGATGCGGGGTGTGGAGGAGGGGTGCTCGATTACACCACGAAGCGTCATCGCAGCATCGCACCGTCTAGGGGGCAATGACAGCGCGACCAGACGGGTGGTGGTGATGGTGGTCGTGGTGATGGTGGCTGCCTGTAATCCCGCACTGTGGAGGCAGCGAGGGCTGGTGGACGACCACCACAGGTTGTCCATCTCCCTTCCCCGTGGGCGTCAAGGAGCCGTTCCCTGGCTCGAGAAAGCAGCACAGCAAACGTTCCACGCACGTCGGGGGGGGGGGGGGGGGTGAACACTCGAAACCCGCAAAGTTCACAAAGCCCAATCGCTGTGCTGCTGTCGCCTGGGCCACCACGTGGCCCAGGTCACAAAGTTTCACAGAGAGATCTTCGTGATCCACCAACCCTTGGCCTGCACGGCCACTGAACCGCGAGCTGTACGTTCACGGTGCCACCGCAAGCGCCGAGGCCGAGAGGCGCGGGACGCAGCAGAAGGAAGCGACCGCGAGGCGGTGGTGTCGACAGCTTCGTCCGTGATGACCGATTGACCTTGACCGACAAAACAAGGTCACCTCCATCTTTTAGACCCTTGTCCAACACGCCGGGTCGCGGTGCTCTGGGAGAGTTCCGAATTGATTCTTCACCTCGCGACGCCGAAGGCAAAAAACCAAGGGCCGAGAGGAAGAATACTGGACCCGGTGTGAACACGGTGAAAGCGCTGCCCTCTCCACTGCCGTGTGGACCAGACGTCACTCGAAGAGGGATTAAGATGTAGTTCAGGGGTATCCATTTTCATGGCCCATTCCAGAACACGTGGGGGGGGGGGGGGGGGGGGGGCTCGCACCACCACAAGAATCGTCTCGGGACGCCGCCAGCAATCGCGATAAATCTCGGAAGTCTCCTCCACTCCCCCCACCACCACCGTGCCCCCCACCACCACCGTGCCCCCCACCACCACCGTGCCCCCCACCACCTCCGTGCCCCCCACCACCACCGTGCCCCCCACCACCTCCGTGCCCCCCACCACCACCGTGCCCCCCACCACCTCCGTGCCCCCCACCACCTCCGTACCCCCCACCACCACCGTGCCCCCCACCACCACCGTGCCCGCGTCCCCCCGAGTGAGTGAGCAGTCTGGGGATGCCGGCTCTGCAGGCGCGATCACAACTCCACGTTTATTTTTCCTTGCTCTGTTTTTCGTACAAAAGTCCAAACGCGCGACCGGCCAAGTGCCTGCTTCAGTTCGCCCGGGCGCCGCGCCCGCCATCATCACCACCATCGCAAGCCACGACGTTACTAAACAATACGCGAACACGGCGACACAATGAGAACACAACCTACAACCACGACACAAACATTTCCGACACCCGGCTTGACACTTTCAACACCTGGATGGACAAACCCCACCCGCTCCACCGCCGGACACTCATGAAGCTGGTTTAAACAGCAGCCATCTAAACGCAACGTGAACAGCAGTTTAGTTTAAACTGATGATGCCGATGTTGTTACCCAGGCTAGACGCCTGCATTCACCTGTGAACACACCACGGCCGTCTGAACCCGGGCTAAACGCCAGCCAATTTGGTTCACGCAGGGGCCCGAATCCCGGCTCGGGGGTCACGCACGGGGTTCACGCACGGCGCCGACTCCAGCAGCTTGCGGACGTCTCTGCTCGGCGAGCGTGACGTCACCGCGATCGCCGTGACGTCACCGCGATCGCCGTGACGTCACCGCGATCGCCGTGACGTCACCGCGAACGCCGTGACGTCACCGCGATCGCCGTGACGTCACCGCGATCGCCGTGACGTCACCGCGATCGCCGTGACGTCACCGCGATCGCCGTGACGTCTCCGCGATCGCCGTGACGTCTCCGCGGACCGCGCACTCGGGGGGAGAGAGGGTCGCGCCGATGCTCCTGCGGCAAACGGAGCGGCGTTTTGTTTCCACGATCCCGAGCTGCCCCGCGCCGCCCGATGGAAACGAAAACGACAAAACCACCAGCCGTGAGATTTACTGCGGCTTCGCGACTCAAGCCAGGAGACGGCGCAGCACGCAGGGCGCTCACCGTCTAATGCACAGATTGGTTGGAGCGCTTTCCCGTTGGCACGCGGTGGGCACTACGGCAAGAGGTGAACAGGGTGTGCGTGCACGTGTCTGTGTGTGCGCGTGCGAGAGTGCACCGTGTGCGGGTGTGCATGCGAGAGAGAGCTGGGAGCAAGCCACGTACATTTTTGAACTCGGGGTTTTATTAGAAAAGGGGAGAGCGGGCGAATGTTTGTCTTCACAGTCTGGCTGCCGGGGCCGGGAGAGGGGACGAGCGGAGAGCGCGGTGCCGCCGCCCCGCGTGTCCACGCGTCTCTCGAGCTGCTGTCGTCGTCGATGTCGCCGATGTCGTTCGCCTCGGGTCACCGCGCTGCGCTCAGAACATGTCTCCGCCCCCCATGCCCCCCATGCCCCCCATGCCGCCGCCGCCCCCCATCCCGGCCGCCTTCTCCTCCTTGGGGATCTCCGTGACGACCGCTTCGGCCGTGGCGAGCAGCGACGCCACGCCGGCCGCGTCCACCAGCGCCGTCCTCACCACCTGCGCGACGGGGACGGAGGTTGGGGGGGGTGCGGGGGAGTCAAGAGTCGCGCCAGCGAGCCACCGCGTTGAGAACGACGCCGCCGGCGAAAATAGCGATCGCACCCCGCCGTCGCGAGACGCTCCAGACGGCAAGACGGACGCACCCCGAACTCGCGCGCGGTGTCGGCGTGGCGATGAACGCGCGCGTGCCCACAAACTCGGAGCCCGGCATCGGGACCGGTCACCACACGCACGCGGCGCCGAGAAGTACGATGCAACCTGCGGCGCCCCTTCCACCACGACCCTCGTCGCCCCCCCACCCCCACCGTGACCCTTGACCCCCAGCCCCCCCACGCACCTTGGTGGGGTCGATGATGCCCTTCTCCACCATGTTGACGAACTCGCCCGTCATGGCGTCGTAGCCGATGTCGTTGGCCGACTGCAGGATCTTCTCCACGATGAGGGAGCCCTCCACGCCCGCGTTGCGTGCGATCGTCATCGCCGGCACGCGCAGCGCGTTGCGGATTATCTCGATGCCTGGGGGGGCGGGGGGGGGGGGAGAAGAGGCGAGTTGGAGAGTTGACAGATGAAGAGAAATGGCGGGAGGGCGAGGCGAGCGGCTACAGCGACCGAGCGAGTGCGGCGAGCAGGTGGAGCCGGTGCGTGGTGAGCGGTGGACGCAGCGAGCGCGGTCAGCGTTGAGCAGCGTTGCGGTGAGCTTGGCGTTTGTGGAGTGCCGTGAGCACTGGCGAGCGGCGAGTTGTAGCGGTGCACGGCGGCGAGCGGTAGCGGCGACCCGCCGGCGCCTCACCGATCTGCTGGTCGCTGTTGGCGGGGGCGATGGCGTCGAGCGCGGGAAGGCAGCGCAGCAGCGCGCAGCCCCCGCCCAGCACGATGCCCTCTTCCACGGCGGCGCGCGTCGCGTTCAGCGCGTCCGTCACGCGGTCCTTCTTCTCGTTCACCTCCACGTCGCTCGTGCCGCCCACCTGGTGAGGAGGAGGACATGGGTGGCGACGGAGGAGGAAGTTGTGGCGAGCACATTCCACGCGTATTACTTATTTGCGTTTACTTCCTCGGTTGGGTGCGATATTCACTGTCCACACAGACGGTGCGTACGTTACAAATTTAAATTGTTTGTGTACGTGTCGTGAGCTTGCTACGCATGTGTCAGTGAGTGAGTGGGGTAGCTATCGTACCCGCCTGTGTGCGTTCGCTATGTGCGCACGCGTGTCCATCGACACCCTTACACGTGAGACCCGGGTGCCAGAGTGTAATTACATGCAAAGAGCCCAGCGGCAGGAGGGAAGATAGCACCCATAATTAAATCATCTTCATCGAGTCTCGTCGACGGTTTCCTCATCATGAGGCTCGGGGATGAGCCGGACCCAGACCGCCGAGCTGCCACGGCCCTGATCATGGGTTCCAATCGCCGAGGCCCAGACAGAGAGCCGTAGACTCACAAAAAGAGCCGTAGACTCACAAAAAGAGCCGTAGACTCTCACAGAGCCAGGCACCGGCTGTGGTTGCACCGGATTCTCTGGTGGAGCCAGGCTGCATGCGACCCCCCCCCACCCGCCGCTCCACGGAGCAACGAGGCCTCGGCTTCGCGCGCCGGTAGCCGGGGAGGCGCGAGCGGGGCGAGGGCGCCGCTCACCTTGAGCACGGCGACCCCGTCAGAGAGCTTGGCGAGCCGCTCGTTGAGCTTCTCCTTCTCGTAGTCGCTCGTCGTGGCCTCCAGCTGCTCCACGATCTCCTCGATGCGCTTCTCGATGGCGGCGCGCTCGCCCTTGCCCTTGAGCACCATCGTGTCGTCCTTGGTGATGGTCACCTCGCCCACGCGCCCAAAGTCGTGCAGCTGCACGTCCTCCACGTTCACGGACAGCGCCTCGTCGCCAAACACCTGGGGGCGGCGCGGGGGGAGGTGGCGAGGGCCGACGAGGTGGCGGGTAGGGGTGACGAGGGGACGGCGGACGAGGGTGAAGGGGGGTGTGGGTGGAGGGCGTGATGAGGACGGAGAGGGGATGAGGAGGGTGTGTGGAGGAGAGATGAGAGTTAGTCATTATTATTCCACGTGTTTACCCAGGAAATCTCAACACTCGATATCAGTAGGGTGCTGCCCAGATGTTGCAGTAGGGGGCGATGTTGCTTTGTGCGCGTTTCCCAACTCAGTGAATCCATTGAGTAAATTTCTTATCTGGCCCGTGACGCCGATACAACAGCCGGCAAGCGCCGCTCTCAGCCGGGCCGACAGCGCCCGCGGCTGCACTGCCACCTGCTGGCACCTTGCGGCAAGGACGATCAACCGCCCCCGCACGGTGGGAGCAGCGGCACGCGCGCCATCGAAGAGGGAAACCCCCGCGTCGCTACGTACGGTGCCGCCGGTCGCCACCGCCAGGTCCTTGAGAGTGTTCTTGCGGTTGTCCCCGAAGCCCGGGGCCTTGACGGCGCAGACCTGGAGTCCGACCTTGAGTCTGCGGGGGGCGGGGGGCGACCTCGGCTCAGCGTGACCGACAACGCGCGCTCGTCTGGGGACAATCCGTCCGTACGCCCCTCCCTGCGTCGTCCATCACTCCTCCGCCGGCCGTACGGATATCCGTCCCACAATCACCCGAGATGGGGTCAAGGACAGCAGCGAGTGAGCAGGGAGAAATCCGAGTGACAGGGTTGAGAGAGCGATCAGGTGATTGAGCAGGTGAGAAAGCTGGTGGAAGAGTGAGTGTGAGATCGCACGTCCCTGCTCATCCCTGTGCATGCGTGCGTACCGGTTGAGCACGAGGGTGCTGAGCGCTTCCCCGTCCACATCCTCGGCGATGATGACGAGCGGCTTGCGCTGCGCGTTGGCCAGCTCCAGCGCCGGCACGATGGACTGCACGCTCGAGATCTTCTTCTCGCTGATCAGCAGGAACGCGTCCTGGAACTCGCACTTCTGGCCTGCACAAAGAGAAATATCCCCCGCGTAGCCTTTAGCGCGCTGTCGGGGCAAGAGCTGTGAGCGAAACTCGGCGCGGCTTGGCTGGGTAAACGAGGGACGTCGTGGTGGTGGTCAGCGAAGGCGTCTCACCCTTTGCCGAGTTGATGAAGTAGGGGGAGATGTAGCCGCGGTCAAACTTCAGTCCCTCGATAATCTCGAGCTCGTCGTGCAGGGTTTTACCATCCTGACGTACGCAGCAGCAGCACGGCACACACCACAACCACGGTCACCACCACCATCATCACCGTTTCCATCGCAACCACCATGGTTACCACCACCTGTACCAACCACCTCTGTTTCCACTATCAGCATCGCCGCCGTCACCACCGCCGTCACCACCGCCACCACGACCAGCACCATAATTCACCCACGATCTGTCACGGTACAATGCCACCGTGCAATTCAAGACCCGACTCTCCTCGCGTTGGTACTCTCCATCCCCTACGAGATTCCCGTCTGCCTCGCTCCGGACTCGCATTTCAGACAAAGCAGTCGTGACGGTACAAAACGAACCGATCCGAGAATCGCCTCAACACTGATCGAGGGCGCAGGGACGTCAATCGACCGACCGCTCCACGCACGGAGCTTCGGCCTATGCACTGTGGTGACGCACGTGGCCCGCACGGCACCGCACGCCCATTCCGTGTCACCGCGCCAGGGCGTCTTCACACCCCCGGTGCCCCCGCATGCACGCGCCCCCAACGCCCCCGCACCACAGCGCCCCGTGTCGTCACCTTGACGGTGATGACGCCCTTGCGCCCAACTTTCTTCATCGCGTCCGAGATGAGGTTTCCGATTTCCTTGTCCCCGTTCGCCGAGATGGTGGCCACCTGTCAAGACACCGCGTGCGGACAACGAGCACCGGTTAGCCAGACGGGCGTGGCAGGCGCTGGAGAAGAGTTAGCGAGCACCTATTAAAGGCGGAACGGCACACGAGCGGGCGGTGTAGCGAGGAACTTGGCTGCCCACCCGCCACCCCAACCGTCTTTGTATCCCCGTGCCAAAGTTTTTAAACAGCGTACCCGTTAAATTTCGGGAAGGCCAAAGACTGCTTCAGATATGAGGTGCCACTGATAATTGTGGCTGCGAGATGAACTCGGGTCGGGAGCAAGACAGTGCGGTGCTCTTACCACACAGACGAGCGTGCACATCCACACGTACACAAGATCCCTCACGTGTACAAGATCACGCACGTGTACAAGATCACACACGTGTACAAGATCCCTCACGTGTACAAGATCACGCACGTGTACGAGATCACGCATGTGTACGAGATCACGCACGTGTACGAGATCACGCAAGTGTACAAGATCACGCGTGCAGTTTTATAGACCCATGGGGCAGGTGTTTTTTCCAAGCACCTATTAAGGCCGGCATGGCAGATGAGCGAGTGCTACACGCGTGCTACACGCGTGTGCTAAGCACGACGCGAGGCCGTCATGCGCCGCATCGCCGTGACCACGGCTCAGGCCGTGAGTGATCGATCCCTCCTCCTCGGTCCTCGCCGTCGCCACGAGCGCCGTCACCACGAGCACCAGCGCTCACCCGCACCGGCGCTCACCCGCACCGGCGCTCACCTGTGCTATCTCCTCGGGCGTCGTTACAGGCTTGGAGAGTTTCTTCAGCTCAGCCACCACCGCCTCTACGGCCAGCATGACTCCTGCACACGCACGGTGACGGCGGAAGAGTGAGACGCAGGCACGGGGGGTGCGTGGACACCCCCTGGCTCCATCACGCCCCCACCCCCCGGGGCCCCACTGGGTTCAGTGTCGTTTCAGCTCAAATCGGATTAACAATTCCCACAACCAAATTTAAACTTTGACAGTTTAATTCCTTTGGTTGTGGTCAGGTGGTGGAGTGTCTTATGGCACAAATTTGACCCGATTATTACATAGCCATCTCAAAAATCTATTGTGAACCTTAATATTGGTTACAAAAATGTTACTGTATTACCATTATTACAATAAGAGTTCATGATTATTATCACCATTCATGATCAATCCACTGCTGAAATGAAGACCTCCCCAAGCCGACGTCTCTGACAATCCTGTGATACCAAACATCCAAACCACTGCAGGATCCTCCCTGAAAACGAGTCGTGAGCCTCGAGGAATCCTTGCCGGATAAACGAGACAGATCAGGGAAGTCGCTGTGCCAGGAGCACGACTCCCTGGCCCTACGACATGATCTCCTCCTGCAGGTGTGAGGACGGGAACCAGTTTCCACCGGTTTCCCGTCCCTGTACTCTACAGGAACCGGTTCGGACCTGTTTCCCGTTCCTTTACTCTTATGGAACAGGTGCGGAGCGGCCCCGTGGTCACAGTTCTTGGTGGCCATACTGCGAGAGTGATCCGGTGCAGCGCCGGTGCAGCGCCAGCCCGTCCTGCTCACGCTGCCCACTCCGCGCATCGCGCCAACAAACTCTCACTGCCCGTGCTCCACCATTGCCTCCACCCCACATGCGCCGAATTACACCATTCCGGCAAATGGACCGATAGCCATAATTTGGGGGCTTTGAATGATTAATGAATTAAACTCACATTGTCGACAAACGTGCGGAGGTTCTGTAATTTACATTCCGCGGCGCGTGCTCCTTCCATTAGGAGTGGCACCGCTCTCGTGAGCACAAGGTCAGCTTAAGTGCAATTACGTAATGGAAGAACCAGCCATCGGCAGGCGCCGAGCGGTTGCGCCGTCGCGTAGGGCACAGCAACGTGGCGGAAAACAGTGCTGCGCTGGTAGGGGGAAGGGGCGGCACAAACCTCTGCGGATCTCCACGGGGTTGGCGCCCTTGCTGATCTTCTCGAAGCCGTCCTTGGCAATGGCGCGCGCCAGCACCGTGGCGGTGGTGGTTCCATCTCCGGCCTCCTCGTTGGTGTTGTTGGCGACGTCCTGCACCAGCTTGGCGCCGATGTTCTTGAACCGGTCCTTGAGCTCGATGGCTTTGGCCACCGTTACGCCATCCTTGGTCACCTTGGGGCTGCCCCAGCTCTGCTCGATGATGACCGTGCGGCCCTGTTCGCGCGCGCCGATGATGCCGCCGCTGTTAGCGGGTGCTCGGCGTGGGAACCCGCGATGGCTCGGGTCGGCGTTCAACAAGAATCACCGATTCCCAAAGACAGGAACCGGAATTGGATGCCAGTGGAATCGTAAACGCACCAATTGGCACATACAAAAATACAAACCGCACCGCGGTAGGCCCAAGTCACCAAGTGGTACGATTGCCCTCGGCTCTCAGTCACAGGGTAAGGGCACAGCCTTACAAATGCTCGCTTACGCTATTGCTGGTGGAAGGCTCCTCCAGCACAGCGTTCTAGAATGGACAGTACTTAGTCTACTTTTTCACCTGAACCCGATGTGTCGAAGAGGTGGGCGTGCCCACACTGTACCAAACCACACGCGACCTGTGTCCCCATTCATGCCGCCGGGATATGGACTCTAACTGGCGTCCTCTGGATCCCAAGCCCCACGTCAATAAAGGCAAACAACCACCACCACCATCACCACCGTGTGTGAGCCCCATAATTCCGAGCCGCACGCATCCTTACTCGAGTGATGCGGTGGCCGCGTGGCACCAAGGGAATTGAAGCACATGTTTGGATCTGTGCAGGGATTCTACCCATGGCTACGAGAGCCCAGAACAAACATTAAACCTGCAGAGAGATACCGAGCTGGGGGGTCAAGGGTCATGCAAAATCCACAAACCCACAAAAAAATAACTAAATTATTGATAGTCAGCGTTTTTTTTTCCAGAAAGCAGACAATTAACAAGACAGCGAATGGGCTGAGCAATGCAGATCGGGCTGAGGCGAGCGAGCGGGTAGGAGGCCGGGTGAGCAAATGAGTAAAAGCGTGAAGCTGAGCGAGTGAGCGAGCCAGCCAGTGAGTGAGTGGCCTGGTAGGAGGCAGAGTGAGCGAGCGGATGAGAGGGCATTAAGAAAGCGATTTAAGAGGTGCGAGCTCGAGTGAGCAGGCGAGGAGAGGAGTGTGGCCTGTGGAGAGCTAGCAGCGAAAGCGGGTGGGCAAGCGGAGAGGCGGGCGAGCGGGCAGTTGGACGTGCGGGTGAGCTGGTGAGCCAATGAGCGGGCGAGGGCCACCTTGGGCCCCATGGTGACGGCGACGGCGTCGGCGAGGAGGTCCACGCCCTGCAGCATGAGGGCGCGGGCCTCGCTGCCGAAGCGGACATCCTTGGCGTAGGCGCGGGTTCCCCGGGGGGGGCGCCAGGGCACGCGTCACGGGGCGCAGGGAGCGCGCGAGAGCCGGCACACGGAGCATCCTTCTGCAGCCGCCGCGGTGGTGGAACAACAACAAAGGGGCAGCAGGAAAACCAGTCAACAATGCGCATCAATAACTCACGTCACGTGCGTTTCAGCGCAAGGTCCCATGCCCAAGCAGCTTTTGTAAACGGGCGTGACACTTGCTGGAGAAGAGAAGGGCTGATGAGGACATGGAGCCGAGTGGACACGCCGCTTTGAAAGGCACGAGTGCCTCGATGGCTGCCGTTGATCCGCTCAGCGCGCGTGCATCCCCCCCTTGGTTGTGGCCGGGGTCTCTGGGTGACAGGGAGCCTATCGGGGTGGGGGTGGGCCCTGGTAGGAGAGGAATGTGGGTGGGGGCTCTTTGCCCACAACAAATGTTTTACTTGATGGTCCCACTGAGATGCCAACACTCGAGTGTGGGAGTTGTACCGACGGATTCAAATCACCAATGAAAGTGAATTATTCACGAAACTTGTTTGATGAGAACGACATCACCCTCTTAGCCACATATACAGACTGGCGACTCATAAATTTTGCCCCTGGTAGGGGAAGACTCCTAGAGGGGTAGGGGACCCCTCGTGTACTGGGGTACAGGGCTGAGTGAGACCCCCTAGTGGGGGAAGGGGTCGCGATTAAGAACAAAATCCCTGGTTGAGTGAGACCCCAGTGTGGGTAGGGACCCTAGTGGGTAGGGGTCCCGATGGGTATGGTAGAAATGATGGTTGGTCTCTGCGGGGACCGCTGCGATGGCCAACACCCTGGTGGGTGAGGGGACCTGGTGGGTGAGGGGACCTGGTGGGTGAGGGGACCTGGTGGGTGAGGGGACCTGGTGGGTGAGGGGACCTGGTGGGTGAGGGGACCTGGTGGGTGAGGGGACCTGGTGGGTGAGGGGACCTGGTGGGTGAGGGGACCTGGTGGGTGGAGACCCAGAGGGTTGGTGGTGGGGGAGGCGTGACTGGATCAGGCGAGCCGAGACGAGGATCTTCTGCTGCTGTTGTTTAGAGAAAGTTCTGGAGTCGTTATCAGCCGTGACGCAAACCTCTCGACACGCGCAGTGCCCACGCCCGCACATGGGGGGGCTCTGCTCCTACATTCTCTTCTCAGATTTATTGCATCGATGCATTAATATCGAAGCACATCAAACAGTCACCATTGTAGTAATCTCTCTACAATAGTTTTTTTTTATTCTAACATTACAAGGTGTGCGTTTCGTATTGTTGTTGGTGATCTAACCTAATATCCCAGAGTCCTTGACTTGCAATCTCAAGGTCACGAGTTCAAATCCCAGTCGGTAATCAACCCATTATCACCACCATCATAATCATCCATGCTACGCAGTCGCAATACCAATTTGTGCCGACTGTGCTTGTCCTACTGACTGGGCACTGTCGTGGGAATGTGGAATTCCCACCAGTGGCTCATGGCTGACATCTGACGAGTCATAGTCCTAGTTCGAGCAGAAGGGGGAGAGCTGTGAATGAGTTACCGGTAGCGTCCCCTGACAACAACACGTGGTGCTGGGTGGTGGAGGAGGAGGAACAGCTGGGATGACCTCTGCACCACGTGGCGCCAGGGTCAATGAGCGAACTGGTGATGATCCCATTACGAAACCAAACCTCCGCCACTCATCGACAATGAATCAACTCGAGAATATATCACGCGTGCGTGAGGCAACGACGACCCGGGAGGGGTCCGCGAACAGGAGACGAGAACGGCGCTTATGTAACCCACGAACAATGTTTGACAAGATGGTGAATACGGCTGCGTCAGGGGAGGCCAAGGGGTCGTGGCGACACGAGGAGCGAGAGGGCGCCGCGACTCCGCGACCGCCCACAGCGAGCACAGCGCGGGGTCGCCGCTCCCGGCAGCGGCTCCGACGCCTCGGCATCTCGCCATCGCTTCCTTCCCTCTGCCGCATTCAAGATGTTGCCAACTTCACGTCGTCGGCCATTGTCTATCCACTGTCGCGACGCTCCCCGTCCATCCTCACTCCCGACACGTGGACTCGGCCCTCTTGGACGAGCCGCACGAGTCGACGACTGCAGCCGTCACCGATTGCCAAGGGTTAGCGATGTGACCGGCCCGGAGACGGAGCGACGAAGACAGTGGCGGGTGCGGCGCGCGCGCGATGTTACCGCCGGTATCACCAGCACCGCGAACGACGGCTTGGATCGGCCTTCATCGTCCAGCAGTGTATAAAGATCAATGCTGCTGACGGTGAACCGCACGTGCAGTGCACGCGTACCCGCGTGTCCACGCGTATCCCACACCGCGTCATTATACCCACGCGACTTTAGGAGCGGTGCCCACGACAAATTAATGAATGAGTGAAGTATTTCAGATGCCTTCATCAAGCAGTGGATTTACCATGTCTGTAATTATGATGCTTATCGTCATCGTTATTGACGCGTGGCCTGCAAGGAGGGCTCTCACCTGAGTTATGTGGCACGAGGTGGCTGCTGCTGCTGCTGGTGGTGCTGCTGGTGCTGGTGGTGGTCACGGCGTGGAGTGACACCGCCTGGGAGCTACAGGGCGAATGGACGGGGCCGCGTGGAGCCGAGCGACCACGTGCGGTACATCCGGGCACCCGGGGCGCGGGGCCCCGAACCCTGCATAGCGCGGCGCCTCCGATTGCCGCGCACGGCGGCCACTGCCGCTATGCTCGGTTCGGGGCCACCCCCTCCCCGCCCCCACCCCGCCCCCACCCGCGAGGATCCCCCGCTGCTATTTCCGGCCCCGCCCCACCTCTCGGCGTTTCCAGAAAATTCGCTCCGACCTTGATGCGTGACGCGGCCCGAGGACGTGTGCGTCCGCACCCGCGCAAATAATCCCCTCCGCCCCTCCCCCCGGTCCATCAGCTCCGCTCTCGTCCGGAGAGCGCCTCGCTCCGCTAGCTGATTGGCTCATTGAGCAGCGAACGAGCTCCGTTGGCGATCGCTTTGGTTGCGACTGTGGCTGCGCGTGACGCGGCTCCCGCTCCAGCGCGGCGTATCCCTCCGCGGGCGGTGGGGTTACCGCGCGTGCGCAGTCGAATCCGCGCTCCACGTGGTCAGGACGGGATCAGCTGAGAGTCATGGTGAGCGCCGCGCTCTGCACCCTCGCCACAAATTAACGAGAATTAAGCTGCTAATTAACCGCCAATTAACCGCTAATAACGAGTTGATAAGGATATCAGTCTGGCGCGTTCGTTTTAGCAGCTCGGCGAGCTGTAGCAGCGATTGTTACTGTCGTGGTGGTGATGCGCGCTCATTGTCGTGCGCGTGGCTGTGGCGATTGCGTTGTTTGCCATGAATGACATTCCGTGTGGAATTGCAATTTCAGTCGGGAACGCTTCTGCTGCAGTTGTGATGAATGTTGTAATGTACCACCTGTCTGGTGAAGGTTGATGTGTGTTCGGGTGGCGCCGTGGTTAGCGATATCCCCGGCGAAACCCGAGTTGGAATATTACCCGCCTTGGCAAACATGAGTGGCAAGTGATAACTGTCTCTGACCAACGTGAAGTATGGAGAAGTGTCGAACAGTCAGCAGTGGATAGAGTTGAGTTGTTGCGTGATGTGCGTTCGATTGTGCGGTGCTCGTGACTCGGCGCGCCGCCGCTGCCGATAGCTCTGCGCCCTTGGTGGGCGCGGGATCTCGGAGGTCCGTTCCACAATGGGATTTAATTTCCCTGGTTCTTTCGACTTTACCGAAAGAACCAGGAATATGAATGGGATTATTGGCCGACCTTGGTTTAATGGGGATATGAATTGACGCGATTATCCGGAGGCATGATGAATGCTCAACGGCTTTGGAGGAGGATGCTGATATTGATAACGCTCTCCTTGGGAGCTGTGGAGGACGCTGATAAGAGCCGCGATTTGCGGCGTCTGGCGAGAGCGGATATTCTGCTGACATCGCAGGTTGACGCGCGCGTTTGACGATGTAACCAGTTAATCGGGATGGCGGAGGAGGTGATGGTAGTGTGAGCACGTGCTTTGATGCGATGGTGTTAATGACGGTCTTGGTGGTAGTTGTACTCGGGGTTTATTTTCACACTCAATATATTCCTGGTCTTAGGTGGCACGTGACCTGAAGTGGCCACAACAACCGGGCGATGTATACCGAGTGGTGTGCCGGGTGCGGATCGCATACCTGGACACACCGGGCAGAAATTAGGACCTTAGTTGTGCTGAGAGAGATGGTAATCCGTAGCCCTCTCATACCGTCCCCTCCACCCCCAGGCAGCTCAGGCGTTCAAGCGATTCCTGCCCATGTTTGACCGGGTCCTGGTGGAGCGCTTGGCCGCGGAGACCAAGACCAAGGGGGGCATCATGATCCCGGATAAGGCCCAGAACAAGGTGGTGCAGGCCACCGTGGTGGCGGTGGGACCCGGCGCCATGACGGAAGTGAGTCTCGCCTGGATGCGCCCTTGGCTCACGCGCACAGCCCTCGCTCAAAGCAAAGTGTGCAAAGAGTGTGCAGAAATGACGGGATGCATGCACCCTGTTGATTCGCTCTGCAGAAGGGGCACGTGAAGCCCTTGAGCGTGAAGGTCGGGGAGACGGTCCTGCTGCCCGAGTACGGCGGCACCAAGGTCACGCTGGAAGACAAGGTCAGCGCACAACGTGGACACAGCTACATGCCATTGCGCCTGACACCGGCAGCTTTGAATTATTACAGAGGGGGAGATTAAACATCGAACTGCTTTGTGTTGACGTAGAATTTCTGGCTATTCGCGTGGTTTGTGCAACAAAAACATAAATGCGGCGTGGTTTTTTTACGTAAACACCACATGACATGGTCTCATTTTGTCTCTTTTAGGAATACTTCTTGTTCCGAGACGGTGACATTCTTGGAAAGTACCAGGAGTAGGCCGGCAGGCAGGCGGGCGGGGGTGGCGGGGCTGGGGAACAAAGCGAGAGCTGGAAGGACGAGGGGGTTGTGCAGCCCACACGCTCCGTTTATTCCGCGCGAAAACTTGTCTCACGATTCCGTCTGTGTGCTGACAGAGGGGGGAGGGTAGCGGGAGGGTAGAGGGGGGTGGATGGAATGGGGGCGGTGAGGAGGGAGGGTGTGTGGCAGTGCCGCTGGATACTCCGTGACCTTGAGTGCCGCGTGCTGCTCTGGAACGTTCCGCACGCCGGGGACCAGGAGGGGGCGCCAGCAACACGCTGACTGTGCTTTTCCAGAAAATAATAAAATGTGAAAAAAGTGCAACCTTTGCCTGAACATGTAGTGTTTTTTTTTACCCTTGTCTTGTTCAATTAACACGTGGTCATTGGTTCATAGCCATGCATTACATCAAGATAATTATTCTGATTTCAGACCACGTACAATGTTTGGAAACCCGAACTAGTTACGTGGAATTTCCACCGCTGGCTCAGGGCTGTTCAAGGAGACAAGTTTGAGGCCCAGCGCTCGTTTGAGCAGGGGAAGATTAAGAGGGGGCTTTACGTTTGCCCAGACAATGCAGCCTTTGTGTAATGGGTGCCTTACTCGTGAATCGGATTAGTGGTGAGTGGTGGCACTTATTTAATGTTAATACAGCTTGCATTGGGTGTAACCCAAGCCACACATCTCTGGAATCAATATGGGTCGAGCAAAGCATGGCATTTTATCATTTGCCTGTCATGTTCTTGGCACTTTAGTTGAACCCCCTGCACCTCCGATTAGCACTGTTGGCTACATGCGGTGCAAAAAGAAGTTGAACAAATACTGTACATGAGACGGAGTGGCGCATTCCCCTGTGCTCTGGGGGCTCTACAGCAGCTGTGCGCTCCGGGTCACAGCGTGCACGCGTTCACACTGCAGGAGATGACGGGGGACAACTGGAAGAGTGAAGGGTATGTGATGGCTGGATCTCCCCTTCAAGTAGCAATTTGTGAAGACGAGGGCTTCTGCTGAATATCACGCTTTACCATTTGGCCATACACATGTACATCTAAAGTCATTGTAATGTCTTGTTCAATAAACTGGTGTTTTGTCTCCATCTCCCAATGCGACTGCCTTGACTTCTTTTAATGTTTCTCCACCCTCCATCTTATCTCAACCTCCGTCTCGTCAGCCATGATCAATCCACTGCTTGACGAAGGCTTCCCCAAAGCACTGCCACCTCTAGAGATCCTGCAATGACTTCATCCAGCACCTGCAGCCAATCCATAGCTATGACCAAAGCAACTTTTGCAAGCAATCATTGCTGGAAAGTATGAGCAGCTGTGATAACTTGGTAGAGCAATAGTTATTGAGCAGCAGTTGTCTCGCTGATGGCAGTGGGAAATGAGCACACCACCTTGAAAAGCCATGTGACCTTTGGTTGATTGGAAGTCGCCCACTCGAGGGAGGCGCAAACAGATTTGTTCAAATTACAGCAACATTTTATACATTAAAAATGTTGCAACAATTTCCATTAACAATTGCCTACAAATAACGCTCTTATCACCTTAATCTTCAATTCCAACCCAATACCCCCTTATCCCCACACACATGATCATGTCACACGTATCCGTGCCCTAATATACCCCAAAACCAATTCTGATTGACAAGCAGTGCGTTTAAGTAGCAGTATTATTCTCCACTGCTATTTCAAATTCTTACACCTGAGGTTGCCAGGTAGCTCAGATCAGAGCACTGAGCTGGCTCCACAGAGGCCCTGGGTTGACATCCATCCAGGCAGCAACCTTCAAAGCGAATTCTCGAGTGAAGGGAGGGTTTATGGTCTCGGCCAGGCTACAAATGACAGAACAAAAACCTTTTGCATTAAATGTGGCTATACACTTCATTTGGATATATTCTATCTGGGACTAACAAACACGGTGAGTGAAGAACGTAACTCACAGCAGGGCTTCTTCCTACCGTGTAGAAAACCGGTGGTTAAGTGGTGTCCACTCTCCCGTGAGCTATTTTACATAAACGGATCTCTGCCAGAGATCTCAATGGATACTTCAACTCACGGCACGGATCGCACATTCGGGATATTGGTGGAAAAACAACTCGATAAGAATCCTTGTGTATATCCAACGCTTGACCGCGCACCCATTCACTGCAGCACCGCGCGATTTTCCGGATTGAAACGAGGGGCCACACCGCTGTAAACGGGGAAAAAACTGGTGTTTATTGTAAGATTCGGAGCGCACGTTCTTTCACAGGGGGGAGGGGGGCACGCAGATCCCCTAGGTGTCGAGGCCGATGTGCACAAGCCATTGGCCAAAGTCCCTTTGCAGCCAAGAAGAAAAACGACAAAACACGATCAAAATAAAGTTTACAGGATTTAGCCGTAAAATATTTCCTCGAACAAGGTGACTGCATCTCTGAGCAGTGGGGTCAAGAAATGTATTTTAAAAATAAGCATATAAATACTGTATAGCCAGACAAGAGAGAGGGGGCCCACCACGTAGTCAGTGAGAGAGATGATGACACATTCACAAACCTGATGATCGGGCTCCGTGTGAGTGTGGGAAAGCTTGGAGAGGACACCAGATTCACCGATTCATTTCTTAGAGGAAAAAAAAAATCACAGCAGCCAGCTTGTGGATACAGCTTACACCAGAGGTGTCAGAGATCGGGCTGAACGGGACCAAGAGAAGACTAGAGCCATTCTAGTAAATTCCGCTCAATATATACTGTAACTTGTATACCTAATAATTACATATGCTTGGTTTAAAAAGTTATTATCTCACCCTTCGTCTTACAGTGCAGACATATCCCTGATGCTCTCTATTGTTCGTGGAACAGGTGCGCGGTTGGCAGGATGACCAGGTTTGTAAAGCACACGTTGGGGCTGCGATGACTGCAATGGTGGTTGATATGGGGTGGGGGGGGTTTGTGCGGGTATTCTGCTGGGGCCAGGCCTATGTGCAACACGACGCAACGCAACAGGGCTTGATTTCTCACCGAATAGTTTCTGGATCGCTGTCGAGACTGGAGTGGGAGGCACGTGACTATTAGCCAGCTATAGCAGCGAGAAGGTTATACTGGATGTGGTGTGCCGTGGGGCGCGGAAATATTTTCCGGGTCGTCGATATCTTAAATATTTTCTGGAGCCAACCAGGACGGACACGGCTGAAATCAAGCCCTGGGCGCGGCGCGATGTTAGCGCTGCACTGCGTGCGTGCGCTCAGCCGGATTTCTTGCCGACGAGCTTCATGAGGCCGTCCGTGCTCATAGACTTGGGCCTCTCGAGGGGGAGGCCGAGGGCCCGGTCCCACACGAGGGAGGCGAGCACGCCCAGCGCGCGTGAAACGCCAAACAGCACCGTGTAGTAGTTCATCTCCGTCATGCCATAGTGCTGCAGAGACACACGGGGAGACGCAACAGTTACGTACAGGGAGACGCGACATTGAGAAATCATGAGACATGCGGGGAGATTTGATGAGACAGGGAGAGACACATGGGTATGATATACACAGTGAGACGCGATGGTGAGACAAAGATCCCCCGTATGGCCTTACCAGACTGTTTGGGAAAGAGCTGTTCGCAAGCACCTAATAAGGCAACCACAGCACATGAGGGTGTGGGTGGCCAATACCACACCCGGTCGCCTTTTTCTCCCCAGTGCTAATATTTACACACCGCACCAGATACTAATTAGAGGTCGAGTTGACCAAGGGAAGGCCGAGAACTAGTTAAAATATTTGCCACTGTTATTGGTCATAAGTGGAAATTGAACTTGGGTTGCCAGGTTCATAGCACAGTCCACTAACCACTGCGCCCGCCACCCCCCCGTATGTCTCACACGGAGACGCAACGGTGAGACACGACTTTGAGATGCGACGGTGAGACAATGGGAGGGCACGGTCAGACACGCGGTGACAAGGCATGTCTGTGAATATTGATGCTCTCAGCCCAGGTGCATCGATGGTGCCGATGACAAAGACGACAATGAACATTATGACGATTGCGACGATGGCGACATGTGTGATGATGACAAACATGTTGACACATATGACGAACTAAACAATGATGGCGAGGACACTCATGACAATGATGGACAGCCATGATTACGACGACGATCGACGCAATAACGGCAACGATGATGAAGATGGCGGAGGCGAGGCGGGCACCTGCAGCAGCACGCCGCTGTGCGCGTCCACGTTGGGCCACGGGTTCTTGGCCTTGCCCTGCTCCAGGAGGATGTTGGGCACGATCTCGTACAGGTGCGACACCAGGCGGAACATCGAGTCGTTGGGCAGGTGCTTCTGGGCGAACTCGCGCTGGCACATGTACCGCGGGTCCGTCTTGCGCAGCACCGCGTGCCCGTAGCCCGGCACCACCTGCACCGCCGGCAACGGTTCATTCATCCGGCAACGTCACGATTCCTGTTTGTTTTTGTTTTCGCTTTTGGGAGCTCCAGACGATTGGAGGTAGCAGTCGAGAATGAACAAATTATTATTTTAATTTGCGACAGGACGTCTAAAGATGAGATGGATCGATTAGATCAGCCTTTGTGCAGGTGCAATATGCACTGTTACATCACAGGAATTGTAGGGTGGTGGTGGCGGCTTGGGGAGGCCATCATCCAGCAGTGGATTGCCCATGGCTGCTGCTGATGATGCCAATGCGTTAAGCTGAATTTCTTTGTCCCAATTAGCGACACCACACCGCCCAAGCGTGCAATCCCGCACACATCCGCTAGGAGCGGTGCGCTGCACGAGGAGATCGTGTAGCATGGCGGAGGGCAGTGCAACAGCGCCAACTCGCGACGTTGCCCAATCACAGGCGACGCGGGTGTCAACATTCGCCCCTTAGAGATTCAGTGAATGTTTGCAATTCCAGAGCCTTGATGCATTCAAGAATCAGTTCTACTTTAAACAATGCTGGGGAAGCGAACCGTCCCCGAGCATCTGGAGGAATTACGAGACCCAATGAACACGACGCACAAATCTAAAACATGCTAATTCTTACACCACCACTCCAGACACGCATCATGAGCTAAGCTTTGCAGATTCTTATCCATACACCGAACATCAATAAAAGTAATTTACAGCTAAGTGAGTAAACAACTGGAGCTGTCTGTGGGACGCATACATCGAGGAAACAATAGTAGACGAGGTGTACCTGGGACTGTTATTGTAGGCAGACCAGGATCGAGAGACTGGGGAGTGTACCATTAAAACTTTAATCAATGAACGATCGACTGCCTTGGCCACCGCTCTGTCGCGGGCGCCGCTCGTGTTGTGACGGGACTGACCCGGCCGCTCTTGAGCGTGTTCCAGATGAAATCGCGGAGCTTCTCGATCGGAACATCTGCGCCCAGTTCCTTCTGAAGCTGCGTCAGCCACACGAGCACCTCCTGCGCTCACCGGACACACACACACAGTGTTCACATCGCTGTAATTTAATATTTACAACCACACCTCCCGCACAGTAACTACATCTCGAAACACCAGGACAGTAAGGAAATGACCACAGACCAAATGCAACACGCATCACCCTCCCTGCAGGACCTCTACGGTTAACCAAATGTCCAATTTGGATTATTGTTTTCAGGATCAATACTCAATCCCGAGAGCGATGGAATCGATTATCAAATCCGGTTCATTGCGATGACTGAACTCCACACCAACGTTCAAACTGTGCGGTGCATCCAAACGTGATTAAAATTTTTATGTGGCAACTTGATTATTATCAAAATTTTTACTTTTTAAAACATCGTTATTGATTACGTAAACATGCAAATTTAACCATCCTAAGGCCCACCCCCACATTTTAACATTCATTATCATCAGCCACGGTTATTCCACTGCTGGATGAAGGCCTTTCCAAGCCACCGCCACCTCTCACGATCCTGCGATGTAACTCTCCATCTGGCACTGTTGTTGGCAAACTCTCAGACACGTTTCCTTCCGTGGTGGCCACTCCATTATGCTTGACCATGGTCCCTTCTAGCCATGACATGTCCTGCTCAAGGCCACTTTCTTGACAGTTGGAATAACAACTCTAGTCTGCAAATGTTCTCCAACCCATCTCGAATCTCTCCAATTCCGTCTCACAATGTAATTCTAAGCATAAGTAACATTATTACTGTGACAAAAGTTTGTGTGGAACGCATGGAGAACGTCTTTCGCACAGTTCGTAGCCATCCTCGCTAATCGGAGGTGCAAAAGAGTATGTAGGAGTGCAAGTGGTTCCGACGTTTATAGTAAGAGAGCTTGTGCCTGTGGCCATTGTCCTGGCGCGTATTGCGCTGCCTTTGTGCCATCTCAGTGCGTCCGTTTCGGGCTCATAAATAGTTTTTATTTTTCTGATTTTTTTTTAATAGGCCTCGATTTGTAAGAGCTTGGAAGCCTTTGTACATTTGGACAGAATCAAATTTATTTTCATAGCCAACAAGTGCACAAGCTGTCACACTAGACAATTAAATTAGCTCAAATGATGACGCCATACAACCGTACGAAGCGAACCGTGCTAATGTATATTATAATAAATTAAACTTGTAGCGTGCCGCACAGTATTCACTCAGTCTCGTAGAGAGAGGAAACCAGAGCACCCAGAGAAACTCACGGCTCCTCCTCGATGCCTACGGGACGGGGGTTCCGCTACTCATGCGATCCACCAACCCTTGCAGCCTCCACAAACACTGGACTGCAGAAGTACATAGCCACCATCGCCCATCTAATGTATTCCTTAATAAGTCTGCTATTCATGAATAATTGTCAAAAGTCAGAATATAACAAAAAAGCATAACACCAACGATAATCGCGATATTTTGAAAAACGGACAATGCGATGACCGCTGACCTCATCGCCGTGAGATAATAACACGGTGACCCGCTACGAACATCGCCGCAGCCACCGGGGTGCCGTACCTGGTTGGCGAGGCCGTGCAGGGGCCCGGCCAGGCCGTTCATGGCGGCAGCGAAGGAGAGGTAGGGGTCGGAGAGCGCGCTGCCCACCAGGTGGCAGGTGTGGGCACTCACGTTGCCTCCCTCGTGGTCACTGTGGAGGGCACGGGGAGAGGGGTGGAGTAAGGGGGGGGGATTGTCAGCTGAGTCCGGTTGAGCTGATGAGTCAGCAGTACCGGTTAATGGCCCCTGTTGTTATGTCCGGCACAGTGCTTCTGGTTTTATTAAATTTAAGTTTTCCCAATGTTACCCTGATTGTGCGTATGGTGTCATGTCACAAGATTCAAGCTGATGCAATTTCCATGATTTGGTGGCGTAACCGAGTGCTTGGTTGTGGACCCGGCTTAAGACACGCTCCTGCTGCAGGTGACAAGCCTGTGCTAGACAGCACAAAGACAAAGAGCCCCTGTATAGCCTTTTCCAGGCTGTTGAGGAAGGCGCTGCTATTGAGAACCTATGAAAGCAGGCATGGCGCATGATGAGGTGGTGTGGCAAGTCATTACGTCCCAACCACCGTTGTCTCCCCAGAGCCTATGTACACACACACAACACCAGGTACTAATTTAAATATTGTTCCAAAGGAGAGACCCAGGACCGGTTGAGATAATCACCTTTGTTAGCCGTGACCGTAACTCGAACTCGGGCTGCCGAGATCGTAGCGCAGCACCTTAACCACTCCATAACCGCTCCCCATTAGGCAGTACACACACATTGTCATCACCGCTACACCAAGGGTCGTATTTTTAGTCACAGCTCAGTTTGGAGTTCAGCAGCCCAGTTGCTTCCAAAGACGCATGGACGACTCCGCTCACGAAAATCCTCGGCACGGCTAGGACCATTGCTCAGAGCCGGCTCCAATTAAGCGTGGCTCAGAGGTGGCTCACTCGAGGCAGAGTTGAGGCAGAGCTGAGGCAGAGCTGAGCCAGTGCCGAGCCGCGACTAAGATTATGGACCTGAGCAGCAGACGCGCAGTCGTGTGCGCGATCCCTCCCCTTGTTTTACCCGCTGGGTCCACCTGCGTGGAAGGAGGGGCGCACCTGTGAATGGTGAGGTAGAGTCGCATGAGCTCGGTGAACTGCACGTCGCTGTATCCCAGCATATTGGTGAAGTTCTTGGACCAGTCGAGCGCGGGGTCGATGGCGCCGATGCTGCTGCCCTCGCGGTACAGGTTGCGGTAGATCTTGGCGGCGATCGTAGGCAGCTTGGCGATCAGGTCCATCGAGTCCTCGTACGTGTACTGCTCGCACCGAGGGGCGAGAACGGGAGGACACAATTACGGGGAGCGCGGTGCGGCAACCACCCTCCGGCTTGGGACGCGCAGCGCTCGACACCTGAGGCCGCACGGCGGCCCAACCAATGGCCGTCCAGTGTCGAGGGCTGCCTCTCGAGCCAGCTCCGCCCCGGAGCGACCGGTGGTTGTGCATTGAAAATGTGGCACCCCAAAGCAGGCAGATTTGAAGTTTGGTTCAGATCGCCGTGGATGTAAAATGTTGTGTCGTAGACCCTCCTCTTCCGACACAGCCAATTAATAAAGTTGCCAAGTGATGAATAAAAAATCGATTTATTATCACTTCAGTGGCAGCAGTGTTGGATAGCGATCTCACAACATTTAACAAATGGGTATGAATGTTTCTCTGGAAACAATAACCAGCATCATCAGGCAGTTGTCAAATTAATGTCATTAATTCTCTGTGTTGGGTGGAGGAGGGTTTAAGATGCACATTTTATAATTGCTTATATATCCACATGTAAGCAATTTACTTGATTGAAACCAAGTTACCCAACAGATCATCTCTCTAGCGATGAGTCGGCTTTGGTGGGTGGAATGAAAATACTAAACTTGCATTGATCAGCGTGAAGTATGGCCAAATAACCCCCACGATCAGCAGGGTGTGGGGAGGCCATCATCTACCAGTGGACTGACAAATGGGATTTAAAAAACATAACGTGATTTCCTGCTCAAATGAGGATTCAGGCACTGGTGCTCATTTCTTGTTTACATCCCAGAGCCAGCAGTGGAAATTCCACATTAATATGATGGGGGCGAATCTACCAAGAGGACAACTACATTGGCCTGCCTCGCAAAATGGTATAAAATGTGTCAACCCTTGTGGGATGATGGGCTGAGTCCCAAACAGGATTTTAACTCTCAACCTTCGGATTGTAGATTTCCGCTGCCGCTACCGCCGAGCCACGCAGGTGGCGAAAGAGCAAACAATAGTCATCTCTATCAAAACCAGCCGTCTACACAAACTAGACATCTCTATCAAAACCAGCTGTGTATAAAAACTAGTCATCTCTATCAAAACCAGCTGTGTACACAAACTACAGTCATCTCTATTAAAACTAGCTGGGTACACAAACTACAGTCATCTCTATCAAAACCAGCTGTGTACACACACTACAGTCATCTCTATCAAAACCAGCTATGTACACAAACTATAGTCATCTCTATCAAAACCAGCTGTGTATACAAACTACAGTCATCTCTATCAAAACTAGCTGTGTACACAAACTACAGTCATCTCTATCAAAACCAGCTGTGTACACAAACTACAGTCATCTCTATCAAAACTAGCTGTGTACACAAACTACAGTTATCTCTATCAAAACCAGCTGTGTACACAAACTACAGTCATCTCTATCAAAACCAGCCGTGTACACAAACTACAGGCATCTCTATCAAAACCAGCTGTGTACACAAACTACAGGCATCTCTATCAAAACCAGCTGTGCACACAAACTAGTCATCTCTATCAAAACCAGCTGTGTACACAAACTACAGTCATCTCTATCAAAACCAGCCGTGTACACAAACTACAGTCATCTCTATCAAAACCAGCCGTGTACACAAACTACAGTCATCTCTATCAAAACCAGCCGTGTACACAAACTACAGGCATCTCTATCAAAACCAGCTGTGTACACAAACTACAGGCATCTCTATCAAAACCAGCTGTGCACACAAACTAGTCATCTCTATCAAAACCAGCTGTGTACACAAACTACAGTCATCTCTATCAAAACCAGCCGTGTACACAAACTACAGTCATCTCTATCAAAACCAGCCGTGTACACAAACTACAGTCATCTCTATCAAAACCAGCCGTGTACACAAACTACAGGCATCTCTATCAAAACCAGCTGTGTACACAAACTACAGGCATCTCTATCAAAACCAGCTGTGCACACAAACTAGTCATCTCTATCAAAACCAGCTGTGTACACAAACTACAGTCCTCTCTATCAAAACCAGCTGTGTACACAAACTACAGTCGTCATCTCTATCCAAACCAGCCGTGCACACAAACTACAATCATGTCTATCAAAATCAGCCGTGTACACAAACAACAGTCATCTCTATCAAAACCAGCCGTGTACACAAATTACAGGCATCTCTATCAAAACCAGCCGTGTACACAAACTACAGTCATCTCTATCAAAACCAGCCATGTACACAAACAGGCATTTCTATCAAAACCAGCCGTGTACACAAATTACAGGCATCTCTATCAAAACCAGCCGTGTACACAAACTACAGTCATCTCTATCAAAACCAGCCATGTACACAAACAGGCATTTCTATCAAAACCAGCCGTGTACACAAACTACAGTCATCTCTATCAAAACCAGCCGTGTACACAAACTACAGTCATCTCTATCAAAACGAGCCGTGTACACAAACTACAGTCATCTCTATCAAACCCAGCTGTGTACACAAACTACAGTCATCTCTATTAAAACCAGCCGTGTACACAAACTACAGTCATCTCTATTAAAACCAGCCGTCTACACAAACTACAGTCATCTCTATAAAAACCAGCCATGTACACAAACAGGCATTTCTATCAAAACCAGCCGTGTACACAAACTACAGTCATCTCTATCAAAACCAGCCGTGTACACAAACTACAGTCATCTCTATCAAAACGAGCCGTGTACACAAACTACAGTCATCTCTATCAAACCCAGCCGTGTATACAAACTACAGTCATCTCTATCAAAACCAGCCGTCTACACAAACTAGGAATCTCTATCAAAACCAGCCGTGTACACAAACTACAGGCATCTCCATCAAAAACAGCCGTGTACACAAACTACAGTCATCTCTATCAAACCCAGCTGTGTACACAAACTACAGTCATCTCTATCAATCCAGCTGTGTACACAAACTACAGTCATCTCTATCAAACCCAGCTGTGTACACAAACTACAGTCATCTCTATTAAAACCAGCCGTGTACACAAACTACAGTCATCTCTATTAAAACCAGCCGTCTACACAAACTACAGTCATCTCTATAAAAACCAGCCATGTACACAAACAGGCATTTCTATCAAAACCAGCCGTGTACACAAACTACAGTCATCTCTATCAAAACCAGCCGTGTACACAAACTACAGTCATCTCTATCAAAACGAGCCGTGTACACAAACTACAGTCATCTCTATCAAACCCAGCTGTGTACACAAACTACAGTCATCTCTATTAAAACCAGCCGTGTACACAAACTACAGTCATCTCTATTAAAACCAGCCATCTACACAAACTACAGTCATCTCTATCAAACCCAGCCGTGTATACAAACTACAGTCATCTCTATCAAAACCAGCCGTCTACACAAACTAGGAATCTCTATCAAAACCAGCCGTGTACACAAACTACAGGCATCTCCATCAAAAACAGCCGTGTACACAAACTACAGTCATCTCTATCAAACCCAGCTGTGTACACAAACTACAGTCATCTCTATCAATCCAGCTGTGTACACAAACTACAGTCATCTCTATCAAAACCAGCTGTGTACACAAACTACAGTCATCTCTATCAAAACCAGCTGTGTACACAAACTACAGTCATCTCTATCAAAACCAGCTGTGTACACAAACTACAGTCATCTCTATTAAAACCAGCCGTGTACACAAACTACAGTCATCTCTATTAAAACCAGCCGTCTACACAAACTACAGTCATCTCTATAAAAACCAGCCATGTACACAAACAGGCATTTCTATCAAAACCAGCCGTGTACACAAACTACAGTCATCTCTATCAAAACCAGCCGTGTACACAAACTACAGTCATCTCTATCAAAACGAGCCGTGTACACAAACTACAGTCATCTCTATCAAACCCAGCTGTGTACACAAACTACAGTCATCTCTATTAAAACCAGCCGTGTACACAAACTACAGTCATCTCTATTAAAACCAGCCATCTACACAAACTACAGTCATCTCTATCAAACCCAGCCGTGTATACAAACTACAGTCATCTCTATCAAAACCAGCCGTCTACACAAACTAGGAATCTCTATCAAAACCAGCCGTGTACACAAACTACAGGCATCTCCATCAAAAACAGCCGTGTACACAAACTACAGTCATCTCTATCAAACCCAGCTGTGTACACAAACTACAGTCATCTCTATCAATCCAGCTGTGTACACAAACTACAGTCATCTCTATCAAAACCAGCTGTGTACACAAACTACAGTCATCTCTATCAAAACCAGCTGTGTACACAAACTACAGTCATCTCTATCAAAACCAGCTGTGTACACAAACTACAGTCATCTCTATCAAACCCAGCTGTGTACACAAACTACAGTCATCTCTATCAAACCCAGCTGTGTACACAAACTACAGTCATCTCTATCAAAACCAGCCGTGTACACAAACTACAGTCATCTCTATCAAAACCAGCCTTGTACACCAACTACAGTCATCTCTATCAAAACCAGCTGTGTACACCAACTACAGTCATCTCTATCAAAACCAACCATGTAAACAAACTACAGTCATCTCTATCAAAACCAGCAGTGTACACAAACTACAGTCATCTCTATCAAAACCAGCGGTGTACACAAAGCACACGCATCTCTATCAAAACCAGCCTTGTACACCAACTACAGTCATCTCTATCAAAACCAGCTGTGTACACAAACTACAGTCATCTCTATCAAACCCAGCTGTGTACACAAACTAGTCATCTCTATCAAACCAGCTGTGGACACAAACACAGTCATTTCTATCAAAACCAGCTGTGTACACAAACTACAGTAATCTCTAACAAAACCAGCTGTGTACAAACTACAGTCATCTCCATCAAACCAGCTGTGTACACAAACTACAGTCATCTCTATCAAACCCAGCTGTGTACACAAACTACAGTCATCTCTATCAAACCCAGCTGTGTACACAAACTACAGTCATCTCTATCAAACCCAGCTGTGTACACAAACTACAGTCATCTCTATCAAAACCAGCCGTGTACACAAACTACAGTCATCTCTATCAAAACCAGCCTTGTACACCAACTACAGTCATCTCTATCAAAACCAGCTGTGTACACCAACTACAGTCATCTCTATCAAAACCAACCATGTAAACAAACTACAGTCATCTCTATCAAAACCAGCAGTGTACACAAACTACAGTCATCTCTATCAAACCCAGCTGTGTACACAAACTAGTCATCTCTATCAAACCAGCTGTGGACACAAACACAGTCATTTCTATCAAAACCAGCTGTGTACACAAACTACAGTCATCTCTAACAAAACCAGCTGTGTACAAACTACAGTCATCTCCATCAAAACCAGCTGTGTACACAAACTACAGTCATCTCTATCAAACCCAGCTGTGTACACAAACTACAGTCATCTCTATCAAAACTAGCTGTGTACACAAACTACAGTCATCTCTATCAAAACCAGCTGTGTACACAAACTACAGTCATCTATATCAAACCCAGCTGTGTACACAAACTAGTCATCTCTATCAAAACCAGCTGTGTACACAAACTACAGTCATCTCTATCAAAACCAGCTGTGTACAAACTACAGTCATCTCCATCAAAACCAGCTGTGTACACAAACTACAGTCATCTCTATCAAACCCAGCTGTGTACACAAACTACAGTCATCTCTATCAAAACCAGCTGTGTACACAAACTACAGTCATCTCTATCAAAACCAGCTGTGTACACAAACTACAGTCATCTATATTAAACCCAGCTGTGTACACAAACTAGTCATCTCTATCAAAACCAGCTGTGTACACAAACTACAGTCCTCTCTATCAAAACCAGCCGTGTACACAAACTACAGTCCTCTATCAAAACCAGCCATGTACACACACTACAGTCATCTATCAAAACCAGCCATGTACACAAACTACAGTCATCTATCAAAACCAGCGGTCTACACAAACTGGACATCTCTATCAAAACCAGCCGTGTACACAAACTACAGTCATCTCTATCAAAACCAGCTGTGTACACAAACTACAGGCATCTCTATCAAAACCAGCCGTGTACACAAACTACAGTCATCTCCAGCAAACCCAGCTGTGTACACAAACTACAGTCATCTCTATCAAACCCAGCTGTGTACACAAACTACAGTCATCTCTATCAAAACCAGCTGTGTACACAAACTACAGTCATCTCTATCAAACCCAGCTGTGTACACAAACTACAGTCATCTCTATCAAAACCAGCCTTGTGCACCAACTACAGTCATCTCTATCAAAACCAGCCGTGTACACAAACTACAGTCATCTCTATCAAAAACAGCTGTGTACACAAACTACAGTCATCTATCAAAACCAGCCATGTACACAAACTACAGTCATCTATATTAAACCCAGCTGTGTACACAAACTAGTCATCTCTATCAAAACCAGCTGTGTACACAAACTACAGTCCTCTCTATCAAAACCAGCCGTGTACACAAACTACAGTCCTCTATCAAAACCAGCCATGTACACACACTACAGTCATCTATCAAAACCAGCCATGTACACAAACTACAGTCATCTATCAAAACCAGCGGTCTACACAAACTGGACATCTCTATCAAAACCAGCCGTGTACACAAACTACAGTCATCTCTATCAAAACCAGCTGTGTACACAAACTACAGGCATCTCTATCAAAACCAGCCGTGTACACAAACTACAGTCATCTCCAGCAAACCCAGCTGTGTACACAAACTACAGTCATCTCTATCAAACCCAGCTGTGTACACAAACTACAGTCATCTCTATCAAAACCAGCTGTGTACACAAACTACAGTCATCTCTATCAAACCCAGCTGTGTACACAAACTACAGTCATCTCTATCAAACCCAGCTGTGTACACAAACTACAGTCATCTCTATCAAAACCAGCCTTGTGCACCAACTACAGTCATCTCTATCAAAACCAGCCGTGTACACAAACTACAGTCATCTCTATCAAAAACAGCTGTGTACACAAACTACAGTCATCTATCAAAACCAGCCATGTACACAAACTAGTCATCTCTATCAAAACCAGCCGTGTACACAAACTACAGTCATCTCTATCAAACTCAGCTATGTACACAAGCTACAGTCATCTCTATCAAAACCAGCCGTGTACACAAACTACAGTCATCTCTATCAAACCCAGCTGTGTACACAAACTAGTCTTCTCTATCAAAACCAGCCGTGTACACAAACTACAGTCCTCTCTATCAAAACCCGCCGTGTACAAAAACTACAGTCATCTATATCAAAACCAGCCGTGTACACAAACTAGTCCTCTCTATCAAAACCAGCCGTGTACACAAACTACACTCATCTCTATCAAAACCAGCCGTGTACACAAACTACAGTCATCTCTATCAAAACTAGCTGTGTACACAAACTAAAGTCATCTCTATCAAATCCAGCTGTGTACACAAACTACAGTCATCTCTATCAAAACCAGCTGTGTACACAAACTACAGTCATCTCTATCAAACCCAGCTGTGTACACAAACTAGTCATCTCTATCAAAACCAGCTGTGTACACAAACTACAGTCATCTCTATCAAAACCAGCTGTGTACACAAACTACAGTCATCTCTATCAAAACCAGCTGTGTACACAAACTACAGTCATCTCTATCAAAACCAGTCGTGTACACAAACTACAGTCTCTATCAAAACCAGCCGTGTACACAAACTACAGTCCTCTGTATCAAAACCAGCTGTGTACACAAACTATAGTCATATCTATCAAAATCAGACGTGTACACAAACTACAGTCATCTCTATCAAAACCAGCTGTGTACACAAACTATAGTCATCTCTATCAAAACCAGCTGTACACAAACTACAGTCCTCTATCAAAACCAGACGTGTACACAAACAACAGTCATCTCTATCAAAACCAGACGTGTACACAAACTACAGTCATCTATATCAAAACCAGCCGTGTACACAAACTGCAGGGATCTCTCTCAAAACCGGCGGCGCGAGGCGTCGCACGGTGATGACCGCTGTCATACCTCCCAGTACTTGGCCTTGTTGACACCTTCGCCGTACGCCGCCACGAACTTGCTCTCGCTGTTGAGTGCCGTGACCGAGGCGCTGAGCTGCGACATGGGGTGCAGGTTCGTGGGGAAGTTGTCGATCATGGTGACCACGTGGGACGGCAGGGCGGCACGCTTGGCCCACTCGGCAGACACCCAGCTCACCTGCGCATCGCGGAGGAAGAAGGGGGAGAGGCGTGCCACAACAGAGAATGAATAATCTGTTGCTATTTTTTTACGCTTTTAATGCATTTGCTCTGTCTGGCCACCCGTAAACATGGGGTCACTAAACCACTCCTAATGATAATTCAGTTAATTTATTGTACAGCCGTTCTGCCATTAGGAACATCACACGTCACAGACGCGCCCAACCTACCCACGGATGTCACACGTCGCGCGCCATGTGACGTCGCTTCGTTACGCGACTAAGATGGTAACATTATCGAGGCCAATCGAATACATCCAGCGACACGCGCAAATTGGACAGCGTTACAGAATCTGGGGGCAAGAGGCAAGGATAAGCTTTATGCCAAAGACCCACGACCACCAATTGTATAAGCCACAGATGAGATGGTACACATTTGGTTTAGTCACCCGATAATAATTCTATGTTTGTGATGCTATAACGCGGACCTGGTGACCCCAATACCAGGCTCCCATGGAGGTAACGATGCTGTAAACTGGATTTGTGTAGCCTTGGCGATGCTATCACTACATATCCTCGCAAGACCTTACTGTTGTTCTGCCCACACCAAAGTGCACATGCAACCCAGTTCAATGGGGCAAGTGGCAGTACTATTTCGCTGTCTGCTTCCCATGACGTAAATTGAAAAGAACAGGTCATAGTGAGCTGCTGATACGGTCCAAATTTGCTAAATTTGAAAATGTACCCATAAACGACTCAATTAAGATTTCACACAGCAACATCAACCCCCTGCCCTCCTCTGAAACGAATGAAGACTGTCTTTGAAAAACAGCACATTGGAAACAGCCTTGCGCAGTTCGGCTAATAATTCAATAGCAGAGACCATTTTCAGACCCACAAACACCCACAACCCGTCAATAATTGCTCGTGCAACAGAAACAGCAAATAACATTGGTTGGCATATTTTAACACGGGTAATTCAAGTTACATTACTTTAGTTTTCCTCTCCTGCGGACCTTGCGAAACGTGTTTTAAGAGTGGCGCACACAAGTCACTTCCTCTCAGCGGACGCCACTCTCGTGTAAAAATGCGGCACAAACAGAACCGGGGCCGGTTGTGCAAACCACGCTGCCCGGCAGTGGAGCATTATCGCGCGGTCCGTGTCTTTGATTCATTCGAAAAAACTCTTTTCATTTATTGATTTGTAATTTGACCGATTAGAGTTCAATGGAGATGAGTTGCCGTGGGATGAAGCTCGGGTGAAACCGGCGCAAGCAGCCTCGGTCGGCTTGTGCCGGACTGGCAGAACCGGCCGGCATTCTTTCATGCTCACGACAACGCTCCGATGTCTGATACGGTGACCTTTTTTAAAATGTAGTTTTAACAGAAGGTCGGTCTGGGTAACAATGTCTAGTCGACGTTTACGTCTCAGAGACAACCGAATTTGGGGTTTGGTTCTCTGCAGGTTGCGAAACTGTGAATATGCGAAGTGCAAAGATGGAAAGGGACTAAGGACAATGATGAACAAAAAAAATATAGCAATGTCAACCAATTTTGTTCTTCTTTTAACTTTTACCGGGTGTCAAAATAACTTAAATGTTTAATATAGTGGTGTTACATACAACGTATTAATTTGGAAAATGAATACAGTGTGTGTAATGTGCTTGTATTCTACTTTCTAACACAATAAAATATGCATCCACTACATATATGTTATGCATTTAGGATAAGCAACACTAAGGACTGTTATAATTGTGAAATTACTATAAAGCAATTGTAAATAACAGTGCACAGATGCCTTCAGACTGTTAAACAAAGACAAATTGCCAACTTGTTAGATAAGTTACTCAAACTACATGAAGAAAACCAAGGCAGCGTCGATTCAAATTATTTGACTTCTAAATCGAGGGCATCAAAGCAGAGAGGGTCACAAGGGCCCGGGGATCGAGCGCACTCAGCCAATTCATACCGGCTGGTTCACCTTCGCGCCGGCGGCACCGTGCAAGGTGCTGCATGCGATGTTATCGGATTCCCGCTACGGGTCTTCCGTGTTAAATGAGCACGTGCGAAACGTGCGACAACGCCGGTTAATAAAACACGCGAGCGAGCGGGGCGGCCATGCCGGCTCTACCCGGATTACGAGACGGGGAAAACCGGACGCAGCAGGGGTTCGACTGACTGTATTGTGGTTGACACGTGTTGCTGCTACCGCTATCGCCACGGCTTCCACCATAATCCCTCTCTCGACAAACCGGCGTCGCGTGCCTGCGAATGCGGCCACCCACCTAAAACTCTCCGCGGCGCGGATCAAAGTTCAGGGCTGCGTGACCGCGTTTGCAGAACTTGGCTGTTGCACGTACGTCAAAAAACCAAATCTGACAACCATCATGTGCCTAGCTGCTCAAACAGGCCAACCGTTTCGCAACAGGAGGGCTTAACAGCTAAATTTTAAGAGAACATATGGTGGCTCAGCACACAATTCAAACATGAGGGAAGTATTCTTATCATCTCGAAGGCAGCATGCAGAGATTGCTGGCTTTCATTGCTGTGTGGGCACCGTAACTTTTAGTTGGTTGTGAAACAATATCTAATCAACGTCTACAACTCTCATCACGCAACAATTTGTATGGCTACTGATGTGATTCTTCTTGTACTCTGTGGAAATAAATGAAGCAGAAATGGTTCAACTTTGTTCACTTATGCACTTCTACGAACATGCTTTCTGGTTGCTTCTGGACGTTAAAAGTTCATACAGAGACGTTCTCGATGACTTTAATCGACCGTGTGCTTCATGGACCACCCCACGGCACCACAAATTTGTACTTTTTATCGCGCGCCTATAATACTTTTCACGAATATCCGCCGATCCCTCTTCCAGACCTGTCGAATCACGGCCAGACAACAATTTTACGGGAGTGGAAGAAACAGGGGAGAACCAGATTTTATGGCGGGATTTCACAACAGCCGCTGCTGTCGACCACCCAAGGCCCCTTCACGTGCAGCACGGTGGCTTTGTACAAACGCATTCGGAATTCCTTTGTGACTTGTTGCTCTAGACCGACAGACGCGAGCAATTGAAGCAACGGAGCCGAAACGCCGGAGTAATCGAGTACAGCGCCATTTTTTCATCAACCCACTCAGTGTTGGCTTATGAAGCGAGCTGTCTACGGATATATTGGAAGAGTATTGCTTTGTCTCCTATTTCGTTCATCTCCTCCAGTTCACACAATGCACATCTCTTCCCCGCTTCTCCAAACTGTCCCCTGGTTTTGTCTAGGGCCAGAAAATAAGATATTGTAATGCACTTTTCTCTACTATCGCAGTGAATGAGTTTTAAAAACATGCCAAATATGTGAAGAGCTTGTTGGACAGACAACAAAGCTGGGAAACATGTTCATAGTTATAAAATCGTTAAAAAAAATAATCTGTTTTAGAGACCCAAATGCTTAACCCTGGTACTAAAAAGTGCACTTGTAAGTTGTACTATTGCACTGTTTAGCGGTCTCAGTTACAACGATGCGAACAGAGGCCCATCCACTGCCAAGAGACGGAGACGTGCAGAGAGTGAAGTAACCCGTGTGTAAGTCTGGGTGGAAATAATGTTCTGGTCACTCGTCATCATGTGTCGCTGGCAACCCTGCCAGCACGCCGGAGGTGCGAAGCCTAATGGGAATGCAGCCCAGTCTCGGAGCACCGAGTCCTTGGACAGGGCATCCCTGACCACCATGCCAACTCGGTGACTTGTAGGCAACGTGTGTAATGTGGGCCCGAAGGCCAGGCTCATCAAACATGAGAAGCTGCTGGGATTTTACCACTTTCTGATCACATCACCCTTTTTTTTCTTAACATATTATTTAATTCTCCCCATTTCAGATATCTCTTCCCCTGTATTCAAGAACGACTCAAGGAAGTGGATATCAAAGAGCTTCCTCCAAGTTCACTTTAAGTGACCTCTTGTCCTCTAAGTATTGGGCCAAACTTTCCTGGCCACTCTGCAGAGGACAATGTGCATTGCATAAGTCTAACTCACATCTTAATTCTCAAAACTAAAATTGCTCCCGTTCAAGCTCGTGGTTTTCTCTGGTGCCGGCTCGACGCTCGGACCTCTGAGCCGCCGGCCCACCTCCTGATCCAGCACTTACAAGGCAGCAACACCAAACGTGGCACCCACCTGCTCCTGCGTGGGGACCTTTCCCGTTATCAGCAGCCAGAAGAGGCCCTCGGGCAGGGGCTCCGCTCCACCGGGTGCCTTGGGCAACAGCTTCTGGCACTCGGGGATGCTGTAGCCCCGAAAGCGAATTCCCTGCAAGCGTCACACCACACGGCCGTCAGATCATCACAACCGCCCTGCTCTGCTGCGCAGTGTCACAGCACCCAGCGTGGTGCAAAACCGCAGCCGGGCAATGCCACTGATCAATCGTCTCTTCTCAGCCTAGACCCCACCTCACCTCGTCCGGGTCAAGCACCGATGTTTCTGTGACCAGGCCTTTGATGCCCCTCATGCCCCCGTAAGCCTGCGTGAGAGGGCCAAAAAGACACAAAATTAAATCCGGTTTAGAGGGCGCTGGCATATTCACGGGAGCGACTTATACGAGTGGTGAGAGACTTTGCACGAGTGTTTATCGACGCAGATATCTTTAACACATTCAAGCCGTGACCATGAACGCAGCTCACGGTGAAAGGAAAGGGCGATAGGTACGAGGCAAACCATGCCACCGTGAATGATTAACTGTCGGGGGCAAAGGTGTGGGGGGGGGGGGAAGCATGCGGGAGTCTACGCACCATGTCTACAGTGACCTGGCCGATGACTGCATTTCCATTCTCCTGCCTGAAGTCACGTACTCGTGCCTGCTCCTTGGGAATGATCTCCGAGAGGACATCTTTCAAGTTCTGGCAATGAAAGGCAGCACACGCGTGCAAACGTCACATCACGGGACGTCTCGACACGCACGCACAGGCAGGCGACCGGTACGTGGTTGTGAAAGTATTGGGAAAGCAATTAACTTGCCTGCACCCAGGCCAGTGCATCCAGACCACACTGTGCACCGAGGTTGGTCAACATCATACCAGTGAGGGCTTCATTCACCACATGTGTTCCATTGTATGGAAGTGAACGGATTGTCCTCTATTTAACAATGCAGGAGCCTATTGGGTTCAGATGTCTATTTTGCAAGATAAACCTGAGAAAATGTACAAATAATAAAGTCTACACACCCGAACCCTCCATCTTTTTCCCAGTTCCACATTTTACGAGTCGGAACATATCATAATTATTTTTTGTCCATGTGCATTTGTTGTTTAAACCTATGTTTTAATTCAACGTTTAAATTAAGTAAAGAAAAATCAAGACTCTCCATATTTGTAATTTTACCTTTTTAATTGCAATATATTAATGGATATTTGTAGTTACGTAAAGATGGTTGTAATAATAATTTATATACAGTATCCTGTAAATCCACTGCTGAACGTAGGCTTCCTTATACCATGCTGGTGATGGGGATTGTTTGAACAGACTTCACCAAGCTAATCAGTGCAGGCTAGTTAATGGGTGGTGGTGAGGGTGCTTGAGACCTGGTTCGGATATCACTCACCAATGTTACCCATGGCTGGAAATCGAATTCAGGTTGTAAGGTTCACAGCGTCCTGTGCCAACCACTGCACCACAGTTCCACCCTCTTTTTTCTGGTTGTGTGTAATGAAACATTGGCATTCCTATACAAGAAGCTGCTCATATAATTGCTGTCACAGGGTCTGTCGTGAAACTCACGGTGGTAAAGAGTCTGAAACTGAACTGAACTTTGTGACATCCTGCAAAAATTTCCAGGCAGCTGCCAGAATTGAACCAAAGTCTCTGTGCAATTGAACCCAGAGTCAAGGTCACCGACCAGTGGGTTAAACAGAGGAGCAGCACATTACGGCCGCCAGTTTTGCTTGCGACGTAGCTACGGTCTCTATGCACAGGAATCACCGATCCAGACGACGCAACCCCTTGCGACACGCGTAGTAATATGTAACAGCGATGCGGCCTCGCTTAACATCGCGCACTGATGGAGCCATAATAGAGCTGCCAGTGAGCAGAACACCTTCATGCTCCTCTCATTTGCATGCTTTTATTAGAAACACAACCACTGGGGCCAACAAAACGCAGCCAGTTTTATATAGCACGTAGACATGTGGGTTCCAGTGGGCGTCCAGCTAACCTTACAAATGGAGCCACCAATCACAGCAATGAGCCTCCAAATGTATATGGGTGTGTCAGGCCCGTTATGAATCCACTTCTGGATGAGGGGCCTCTCTCAACAGTGCAGATCGTGGGGTAATTTGACCATACTTCACTTTGGTAATTTAATGTTTAAGGCGGGGAGCAAAGTACAGTACAAAAATTACTTGCACTGACAGAGCTGTACATGTATATACGTATATTATAATACTGTATGTTATACGTATATTATAATACTGTGTGTATATTTCCTCGCAACATTATTATTTTTTAAATTATTCAATGTGTTCACAGGAAGTAAAGACAAGTCAGTAAAGGTTAAACGATAAAACAGCGAACATTGCCACTAGTTGGCAGTCGACCTTTGGACCTCAGTATCTTGGTTTACCCTTTGCCATCTTGTGACCGTAAACCTACCTTGCCAGAGATCAACGGCAAGTTCAAAAACATTCTCACGTGACGACACATTTTTAAGGCACTCAAGCCGGTTCACCAAGTCGCGCTCGCACCACAGTTAACCAGTCACCACCATGGTATGCTCAATGGAATTCCGATCCTTTTTAGAAGTTTGCAGACTTTTTGCTGCATCATGATTTGTTACGCAAACTTTTGCAAAAGGCGATGGAGACGGAACTGAACTCACCGTTGTAGATGACGAGGAGTGTCTGCATGCGACAACCAGAGCCCCTGCATGCTGAAATACAATCATAACCATGTTACGGATCGGTTCAAACGGACACCTTTTAAAAAGCCACAATCATTTCAGTTGCCAAATGTTTGCTTTTACGGACGCGCCGCAACGCTTCCAAACAACCTCTCTGCGCCACTGCCGCTGCAACAGCAGGAAGCAGCGGAGCGGACGGAGACCCCGAGAGTTCAAACAAACACACGCAGCCCTTGTCCCGGGCAGCTCAACAGCAGGCGGCGGTAACGCGATCACGCGAGCTTTTCCTGGCACGGGCTTCCGTGGCATCAGTATGGGGCCACTAATAACCTCTCGTCACACGTGCCCTGGTCAGGGGGCAGGAGGCGCTGCAGGGACATTCCGAACGGCGCGGTTTGCCCTCAACTGTGCCACGCAACGGCAAGCGGCCACCGTCTTGGCCAGCCAGGCTTGGGCGCCACACGTGTGACAAAGTAGACACACGGAGACGCTGACGAATGGCGCTGCGTACATATTTAATTGAAGGGTGAGAATTATCCGCGAGGTTGTTTTTGCCGCATCGCGTCGTAACATGTCAAGTACGTGAGATCCATAACCAACGCATGCTTTCTGTGCCCGTTTGGTAGGGCATGTGCGAGTCGGCGGACAGCCCCAAGTTGTATTGAGGAACACAGCACAGGGGTAGACGCATTTTTACCCTTTGGAGGTCACAAGTCTCTCTGGGCCCTCGGACAACATATGGATCTTAACCAAGACAAAAGTCACGCACAGATCGCGGGGCCAGTCCACACTGGCAGAGACAAACCCACAATTGACGGCACAGCGAAGTCTAAACCTAAGCGGGCTTTGGTTTCCATTCCGATGACCAATTAATCACCTCAATGTCAATGAGCTTCCCTGCCAGAACTAGCACTGGTGACAGCTTGTCTGTGCCGACGACCTTGAGCCGAAGATGGAAATTCGACATTCCTCTTGTGAGGGCCAGTCTGGACTTTTCGACACGATTACTGTCGACGATTCTATCGACTTCAGACGATGATCCGCACCTACGGGCGGATTAAACGCCAATGACAGTGGGGAGGGCATTCACGTTCAGCCCGAGTGCTGCTGCCGTGTTGAACAAAAGCGAAGCGAGCTCACGGCCACAGCAGCCACAGCGCATTCACTGACCCTCAAGGTGGCCTTGATGAAACCGCAAGTGCTGTATAACCTAACGCTACATTTCACTACAAGCCACGCGTTAAAACATCACCGTAGGGTGCGCGTCGCCTGCGCGCCAGACGAGAATGTATGAACTCACTGTCACCGCCCTCAGCGATCAGACAGCGCGAAAACTCTCGCCAGCCACGACCGGCAGCACATCATTGTCTTGTATAATTAACAAACATGCATGCCATTACACACGCGCGTGAGCGAAAACAAATTTCACATCACCGCCGAAACCACGCCGAAACCACGGCGCCACCGTCGGCGGCTTCGCGGCGACTCTAAGCAAGAATCCAGGCTGCGTGCGGGGCCTACCCGCTCCAGGGCGGCCACCGCCCGCGCGCGCGCGCGGGAAACTGCCCGCGTTGGCCATGCCGCACTCGCCGGCTCGCTCGCTGAACACGGCGAGAGTGGCTCGCGAGCGCGAGGACGTCGGCGTGGTTTACCTTGGCGGGGTTGAGCAAGAGGAGGCGCGACGCGGCGATGAGAGCCATTGCACTGCAAGTCGCCGGGCTGCGCGCGCCAAGGTTGTGAGCAGCTGGGACCTCGCGCCCCTCCCCTAGCGCACCACGTGACCTAGCCCGCCACAAACGCCGCGGATAGTACCTACTGCGCACGCGCGGCCACGCCACTTACCATAGTCGGTGCGCTGGGGAGAAACGGGTTGGGTGGAGGGGCGCGGCTCGGCGCATGCGCGTTGAGGAGAGGTGACAAAGATTTAGACGGAAGCGCGTTTTCCGCACGGGACGCCGATGGCTCGTGACGTCACAGTCCTTAAGATGACCCTGGTCTTGAGGGGGCGGCGAGTGGGGGCTGCGGGGGACCACGTGACACCACGGGGCTCACGGAGAGGCACGCGGTTTGTAGAGTCACACGAAGCTTCGGGGCTCATGGAACCAGATAAAGCCGTTCAAACCGTGATATGTTGCGATACAATGCAGGACGTATCGTTCTTAACACCCGTTCACATGGTCGCAGCGGACAATGACACGGAGCGCATATAAACGTGTGGCACACTCACACACACTCACACACTGACTCACACACTCACACACACTCACACACTCACTCACACACTCACTCACACACACTCACTCACACACTCACACACACTCAACAACAACAACCGCCATTCGCCACTAAGTGTCGGTGACGTCACCACGACGCTTGTGCCAGGCCATGTGCACCTTGAGGCCACGTGGAGTGTCGAACGCCCGCTGGCAGGAGGTCACGGGGCAGACCCAGGTGCCACGGGTCGACTGACTGAGATGACTGGCTGATGCACCACCTGTGCCCCCTACTGTGCCAACCTGCTGTGCTTTAGCCACCCGGCGCTCCGCTCGTTGTTGTGAGCGTCGCTCCTCCGCCCTCCGTTGTTGTTGGAGGGCGACTGCCTCCAACTGCCCAGTAGCATCCTTCACGAGCCTCCTCCACAGAGGCCGATCTTGACACCGTTGGTACCAGTCATCGGCAAGTCCACTCAGCTCCACGTCCTCCTGTACCACATCACTCCATATCTTCTCTAGCCCGTGACGCGCCCGCTTAGCCCCCTCCATCCGGCAGAACAAAAGCTGTTTCGGCATGCGGTGGCTGGGCATGCGGGCTACATGACCCAGCCATTGCAGCCTTGCCTGCCGGAGGAGCTCACCGATGGGACCTTGCCCAGATCTTTCAAGGATTTGTGAGCTCCTCACACAATTCAGTCTGGTTAAACCCAGGATGGATCGTAGGCAGGCCAGCCTAAATGTTTCTAACGGGCGAAGATGTTCCATTAGGGGGGTCCACGTTTCGCAAGCGTAGAGAAGGGAGGGAATGACCGTGGCCGAGAAGACCTGAAGCTTAGTGCGGAGCGACAGACCAGGTAGCTTCCACACAGCGTTACGCAACCGATGAAAATATATTGCCGCTCGACTGATTCGGAGTGAGACCTCTGCTGTTAAACTGGAGCCAGTCATAAGGCTTACCAGCCCCTCGGGTGCGAGGGGCTGGTAATACACACTCACACACTCACTCCTGTCAGGGTCCCTGGACTTGGTCGGACCTCAAGTGGCGGGAAGCCGCCGTATTCGCGGTCCCGCTCGCGATGGGGCGGCTAGGCCGGCAGAGGGCGCATTCCCATTGCTTCACACGACAGCACGGCTCCCCTGATGCATTTGCAACAGTGGGTCCCCTAGTTTACATGATTTGCTCTTGCCAATACATACATTCTGGCAATCCAGAATTTGTTTTCGTTTAAAGCTTTCGTGACTGTTGGAATTCATATTCTTGGTTCCCTTCTACGTGACTTTACCGAAAGAACCAAGAATATGAATCCAGCATTTGTTTAACAAGGTTTTCTCTCCTAATGAGACCCAGAATGGCGAAAAAACGGTCTCGAGTTTGCGTGCGTTGAACCAATGATGCTGAAAATCACTCCCAGAAGGCCGTCTGGCTGCTGGGATGTGTAAACAATATAGTTGTATTATTTATATGGAGGGACAGCCATGAGAAGGTGAACTGTCTACTTATATATTCTCTTACTGTCCATATAATCTTTGTTTAAATAAATGTTGCAGGATAATATTGAGCCCGAAAAGGCAATAAGTGGATAGACTAAACTCTATATTACGTTTTTCTGTGTAGACACAGAACGACATTTTTCCGATCTCCTTTTGCCCACGAGTTAACCTGAACTCAAGTGGCTCTCAAACCCCACAGCGGCGTGGAGGAGAGGGGACCACTCCCGTCCCACGATGGACACCGGCACTAGGTGCAAGCAAACACAATAATTTAGTTTGTTTCTAGGAGAGCCACACTCTTTTTCACGAGGGTCCTGCTACACTGCGTTTTAATTTAAAGATGTTTTCAGCCAATTCATGATGAGCGTTTCATATAAACGAGAGGAATATACTCTTTGGTTCTATTCGGTAAAGTCACGTAGGTAAAAAATAATACAACAAAAAATCACGTTTCGGCCACAACACAAGCGGCCTTCATCAGGTGAATGGATCAGGCTGTCTCTTATCAGGTGAAGGGATCAGGCTGTCTCGAGACAGCCTGATCCATTCACCTGATGAAGGCCGTTTGTGTTGTGGCTGAAACGTGATTTTTTGTTGTTTTATTTTTTACCTACGTGACTTTACCGAATAGAACCAAAGAGTATGGATCCTTGGAGTCACGAGAGCTTTAAATCTAGAATTAAACGAGAGGAAACCATATTCTTGGGTCTTTTGGTAAAGTCACCTAGATAGGTTAAACAAATAACAGAAAACTACGACGTTTCGATCGCAAGCGGTCGTCTTCAGGGAAAGGAGGGTTAGCTACCAAGGCAAACTGTTTATCATGAAAGCTTCAAATCAAGATTGTTTATGAGGGTGTGAAATGGGCGTAGCCCAAATGTCAGCAACCAATGATAATGTAAGTGTTCGGCAGCGAGCCCGGCAGGGGTTCGTTTTCCACCAATCAAAGGAGTGCCAGGTGAAAATTAGCATGTTAAAGAGAGATTAGCATGTTAATGGGAGATCGCAGAGCCGCAACCAAGCGGTCGGCGCGCGAAATGACTGTGACAGCGCACGTTTGAAATGGGCGTAAAGCACAACTAAGATCGGAAGGTGGTAGGATGGGAACATCATAGCCAATTATGACTTAAACTGGTAGATAACGTCCTTCCAATGATCGCTCAGTTTGTACCCATCTTCTCGGTTGAAATTGTGTCCGTGTCTATATATATGGATGGCTTCATGAACGAATCTTTGTTGAACGCTAAGACACCTATTAGCAACATCAGTAAAGATGAGCGCTTTGAGCTTTCTCAATTAAAAAATAGAGATGACATCGTCATCCTCTCAGCCGACAAGGGCAATGCCACAGTCATCATGGACAAAACCACATACAATAACATTCAGGACCTACTTAATGATGGCAGCTATACCAAAATTTAAAGAGATCCCACCAACCGCCTTGTTAGGAAAACCAACAACATCATCACTGATTCGACATCTTTGATCGAACCAACCAAGCGGTTTTCCTTAAAACCCTCTGCTGCTAGACCACCTGGATTGTATGGCTTACCAAAAATCCATAAAGAAGGTACACCCCGTCGTCCGATTTCTGTCTGAGACCTTACAACCTTTCACTGGTAAGACCACCTCAGCTGTACTCAACTCAGCTCACTTGGTATCGTTAATTAAGGACATCTCACTATCTCCAGGTGATTTGCTCGTTATCTTCTTGGTTCTTTCGGTAAAGTCACATAGAATGGGAATAATAAAATAATACAATAAAATTCTCACGACGTTTCGGCCACAACACAAGTGGCCTTCTTCAGGTGAAGAGACAGGTCTGTCCGGAAGACAGAGCTTGAATGAACGCTGTCATGCAAGGACCGCGTCTATTAAGCTGTGTGGGCAGAGTTAAAACATGAATTTGCATGTTACCAGTATCACCTCCGGAGAGGAGGAGGAAGGGGGCGAGAACACAGGCAGAGAGGAAAAAAGAAAAGGGGAAAGTGCAACAGCCAAGGTGCGCGAACATAAGGCAGATCTGAAACACGGTAGGACCAATACCTCGGCCGTGGCTGATCATTGTTTTAATTCGGTGGGCTCACGCGAAATTGATTTCTCTAAGACGAAGATACTTTGCAAGCCCACTAGCTATCAACAAAGATTCGTTCATGAAGCCATCCATATATATAGACACGGACACAATTTCAACCGAGAAGATGGGTACAAACTGAGCAATCATTGGAAGGACGTTATCAACCAGTTTAAGTCATAATTGGCTATGATGTTCCCATCCTATCACCTTTCGATGTTAGTTGTGCTTTACGCCCATTTCAACCTTGCGCTTTCACAGGGTTCACACTAGCACAGTCATTTCGCGCGCCAACCCCTTGGTTGCGGCTCTGCAATCTCCCATGAACATGCTCATCTCTCTTTAACATGCTAATGTTCACCTGGCAGCCCTTTGATTGGTAGAAAGCGAACCACCGCCGGGCTCGCTGCCGAACACTTACATTATCATTGGCTGCTGACATTTGGGCTACATCAATTTCAAACCCTTATAAACAGTTTGCCTTGGAAGCTAACCCCCCTTTTCCTGAAGATGACCACTGCATTGCGATCGAAACGTCGTAGTTTTCTGTTATTGTTGATTATTTTCTTTGAACCTATCTACGTGACCGAAAGACCCAAGAATATGAATTCCTGCAGTCACGAAAGCTTTAAGTCAAAAAGAGGAAACCAGATAATCCGAAGAGAACCCTCGCGCACGAGGGGGTAACACTAAATCTCCATACAGATGGAAAGATATGGCGATTAATCCACTTGCTGTCCTGCGTTCTCCTGGCGAGTCAGGGTGTGGCACCTCGACGTCCACGGGAAGGGAGTTTGACAACATTTGTGTGTGATCCACCACACAAATAGAGCATCGCGAGGGCTTGGGCCGAGAGTAAGCGCTGGAAGTCGTTAACTGTCGACCTCTGAACCCGAAGCTGACAACAATGGATGTATCGATGCAATGGATACACTGCCCCACCACAGAAACATGGAATTTTCACCACTGTCTCAGGGCCATCAACGGAAATGAGTGGCACCCCATGGTCATTTAAGCGTGGGGCGGCACCACGATGGAGTTTGATTCATCATACAATATAGTGGCCATCCTAGGGCTATGGATAAACTCACCCTCAACCATAGCAATGTCGAATTTTCACCACTGGTTCAGGATTTACAACAGAAGTGACCGCCCACGGCCCCACACTCACTGGAGCATGCGGGCAAAGTAAACTTCGGTTCACTTTACGCACGTTCGAGAAACAAAAAGAGACCTCTCCGGACCATTGAGTGGCTGCGCAGGCTTCTGTATTTATTGCAATGGCAATGGCCTGGGTGGTGATGCCACGTGCAGTCAGGCGCGTGGCGCGCACCCCCACCGCTCGACCGGCGGCTCCACAAGGGCTGCTGCGACATCGCTCTTCCCCACACGACACCACAATGCATTTCACGAAGTGACCATTATCGCGATATCGGTTTCCCTTTACTCTGCAATTAATTCACATTATTTACATCGTGATTTTGTGCATTGATGAACTTCAAGTACGAATTGGGGATCGCTCAAAAGTTATTCGACTCCTGCTCTCTTGACGTAAGCCTGCTGCGAGTCTCCGAATCGATCCTGTGGGGCGTGGACAGCGCGCATGCGGTGAGAAAATCACCACGGCGCGTGACCACCAAACGTGCCGGCATTTAATGGATGGCCGTACATTTTTTTTGTAGAAATATTAATAGTTGCGTTTGCTATTCGGTAAATATTGTTAGGAAATGAAAAAAATATATAAACGAAAAAACTAAGCGAGCAAAGGTAATCGTGATTTGAGGATATTTGTGCAAAACGGACGGTGCGACGACGCCGAGCGGACGCGGCGATATCGCGCGGTGTGCTGGGGAGCGGCCGCGGCGCGCCGGGGAGCGGCCGCCCCGTGGCCTCCGTCGCGAGACATTCTCTCCGGCAAAGCCCTCGCGAGACATTCTCTCCGGCAGGGCCCTCGCGAGACATTCTCTCCGGCAGGGCCCTCGCGAGACATTCTCTCCGGCAGGGCCCTCGCGAGACATTCTCTCCGGCAGGGCCCTCGCGAGACATTCTCTCCGGCAGGGCCCTCGCGAGACATTCTATCCGGCAGGGCCCTCGCGAGACATTCTCTCCGGCAGGGCCCTCGCGAGACATTCTCTCCGGCAGGGACATTTTTGGCAGGAACCGTGAGTCGCGTACAATGGCTTAAGAGTCCGGCAAACACGCGTGAACAATCGTGCGAACGCCTCACGTTAATTAAATAGCGAGCGATGCAGATAATTATTAGCCCTTCCTTTGAAGCAAGACACACACTGACGGGCGGCATCGTAATTCGTTAATACTGCTAAAGTGTAAAAACAAACAAAAAACGGTTTCTGGTATAAAAAAATACTCTCATCAAAGTTTTTGACAATCTTGATGATTACCTCATTCCTATAAACAAGATGCTTAAAAATACAGATCGCGCTGCTTTCTGAAGGCTAAACAGAGCACAGTTTTGTAACATACCGTGGAATCTCGAGGAAAAAACTGCACGTTAAAATTGCATATACGCTTTTAGACAGAATATCGTTCTGTGGTTGAGAATGATCGTTCTCAACCACAGACGCGGGGGTCTGGGAACCCTGCCGCCCTAGTCTCGTTCATCGCCCACAGCCGATGGGATAGGGGCCAGGCGGGTCACCGTTTTTACCGTGCCCAGGGGGAACCCGACGCCAAATCCTCAAATCCAACGTCGAGCCCCTGGGCCCCGGCCTCCGCACCGCGGGTCGCACCGTGACCCCGACGGCGTGCGGGCTGCCCGGCCGGCGTGGCCCACTGCCTCGTGTCTCTCTCAGCCACGTGCCGGCGTCTCCAGCCATGGCCGATGGTGCTGCTCGCGGGTGGCGCGGGCAGCCACGGCTCGAGCGGCCGGGCTCTGCCCGTCGGAGCTCTGCTGTCGGTCGGTGCGAGAAAATATTGACCCCACAGAATTTGGACTGGTAAGAGAATAAGAAATATTATTTGAACCCTGGGTTACGCGTTCTCTAAGAGTAAATTGACCTTGCCCCCTACCGTGGGTCATAATTCTACATCGGTGTCGGGTGTCCGCTCAGGTCTCTCCCACACTGGCGGTTGTCTCTATATAGGTGCGAGAGACAAACCGGCCAACCTCACCATCGCTACAACTTTGGGACAGAAAGAACGGCACGGACCGGCTAGAGGAAGAGGGGGGTGAAGTCATCACAGTGGGGGGGTGGGTTCAAATAATTTATTATATTGTGACCCTGGGATCAGAGTTCCATGGACCTCCAAACACTATCTCACGTTGGCACGGCGACTGCGAAGGAAAGGTATTTCGTGAGCGCACGTTGCATTTACTGGTCACGGCCACAGGGGGGCCCTGGTGAGGGGAGCGATCTCAGGACGAGCCCTGAGCGAGCGACTTTGCGTCCAACTGTTCACGCTGATGCGACCGTGTCCCGCGTGCGTGCGGGGTCACGGCCTTGATCGCGTCGTGGTGCCGTGCGTGCGTGTGACATGCGCGCGTGTTCGTAATGGGCACAACCACTCAACGTGCACCGAATTGACGTTATTCTTGTGTTCTGCAGCGTCGGCGTGTGTGCGAGTGTGTGTGCGAGTGTGTGTGCATGCGCACAAGTGGATTTGTGTGTAGAGATAAACGGGGGATCTGGGTGCGTGCGTATGCGTGGGGTGTACCCAGAAAGATGAACAGCCTTTGACATATTCTTTGGGTCTTTCAGTAAAGTCATGTAGATAGATTCAAAGAAAATAACAAAAAAGCCTTTGACACTTCACGTGGCCTAAAAGTGCACGTAGCCTGGCACATGCACCGCGGTGAATGAGGGGGCCCCATGTGGCCTTTTGCTGTGGTGACGCCCCCGAGTGGCGAATGGCAGCCGTTGTCGTCATCGTTCCTGTGTGCACAAATTTGCTGTTCCGCATGGCTCCTGGATCTTCTTCCAGCACCACCACCATCATCACGCCTTCCACCACCACCACCATCTTCATGCCTTCTTCCACCACCACCATCTTCACGCCTTCTTCCACCACCACCACCACTACCATCTTCATGCCTTCTTCCACCACCACCATCATCATCATCATTACGCCTTCCACCACCACCACCATCATCATCATTACGCCTTCCACCATCATCTTCATGCCTTCTTCCACCACCACCATCTTCACGCCTTCTTCCACCACCACCATCATCATTACGCCTTCCACCACCACCACCACCATCATCATTACGCCTTCCACCACCACCATCTTCACGCCTTCTTCCACCACCACCATCATCATCATTACGCCTTCCACCGCCACCACCATCATCATCATTACGCCTTCCACCATCATCTTCATGCCTTCTTGCACCACCACCATCATCATCATTACGCCTTCTTCCCACTCTTGGGGATGTCTGGTGTGGGTCTTGCGGGCTGCATGGGTCTCTGCAGGAAGACGATCTGTTTGCTCACCAAGTTTCCTTCGCTGTGAACAAACACAGAACACGTGATCACGCGATCACACAATCACCTGAATCCCACGTGTCAGCCTCCCTTGCTCCCTCAGCTCAGCTCGCTACAAGTCGAAAGTACACACATGATAACTATGCTACTGCTCCCCACACAAAGACAAAGATCCGCCATATAGCCTTAACAGACTGTTAGGAAAGTGCTGTTAGTGAGCACTTATGAAGGCCAACATGCACATGAGACAGTGGGTGGCTAGCACCACACCTGGCCGCCTTTGTCTCCCGAGTGGCGATCTTTACAAATAACACCAGGTACAATACTCATTTGAGTCAACCTAGGGGAGGCTTAGGACCATGTCAGATAATCGTCACTGGTGTTGGCCGTGTACAGAACTCGAACTCGAGTCGCCGGGTTGAAAGCGCAGCGTGCTAACCACTCCACGAATGCTCCCCAAAGACAAAAATCACATACGTCACGTATACACTCACACATCTCTCACACACTCTCTCACACATTACTCACACATTACTCACACACTCTCTCACACACTCTCTCACACATTACTCACACATTACTCACACATCTCTCACACACTCTCTCACACATTACTCACACATCTCTAACACATCTCTCACACGTTATCTCACGTTATCTCGCGCACTCTCACACTCTCTCTCTCACACTCTCTCTCACACTCTCTCGCGCTCTCTCACTCTCTCTATCACACTCTCTCTCACACTCTGTCACACTCTCTCACAAACTCTCTCTCTCACACTCTCACACTCTCTCTCACACTCTCTTACACTCTCACACTCTCTCTCACACTCTCTCACACTCTCTCTCACACTCTCTCACACTCTCTCTCACACTCTCACACTCTCTCACACTCTCTCACACTCTCACACTCCCTCACACTCTCTCACACTCTCACACACTCTCTCACACTCTCTCACACTCTCAAACTCTCTCTCACACTCTCTCACACTCTCTCTCACACTCTCTCACACTCTCACACTTTCTCTCACACTCTCTCACACTCTCACACTCCCTCACACTCTCTCACACTCTCTCACACTCTCACACACTCTCTCACACTCTCTCACACTCTCACACTCTCTCTCACACTCTCTCTCACACTCTCTCACACTCTCTCACACTCTCTCACACTCTCTCACACTCTCTCTCACACTCTCACACACTCTCTCACACACTCTCACATTCTCTCACACTCTCTCTCACTCTCTCACACACTCTCTCACACTCTCTCACACACGACGACACCACCGGCCTCACCTGTCGGGCTTCACGACAGGGGTGGGCAGGATGGCGGTGAGCAGCCAGCCCGACTCGGCGAGCGTGTGCAGCAGCGGCACGTAGTCCGTCTTCACCTCGTAGCCCTGGGCACAAGCGCACACACAAAGAGCCCCTGTGTAGCCTTGACAGACTGTCGGGGTAAGTGCTGTTAGAGAGCTCTGACGCAGTCTGGCATGGCACACAGGGGGGTGGTGTGGGCAACACCACGCCATGCCACCTTTGTCTCCTCAGTGCTGATGGTTTACACACCGCACGAGGTACTCATTTGATGCTAGGGAAGGCCTAGGACCGGTTCAGATATTTGTCACTGGTGTTGGCCACGAGCTGGAATCAAACTCCGGTAGCTGGGTTTGTAGCCCAGCGCTGTAGTTGATGTTGTTGTTGATACTGTTGTTGTTTATGTTGTTGATGTTGTCGTAGTGGATGTTGTTATTTATGTTACTGTAGTGGATGTTGTTATTGATCTTTATTTTGCTGTAGTGGTTGTTGTTGATGTTGCTGTAGTGGATGTTGTTGATGATATTGTTGTTGTCCACCTCAATCAGGGTGAGCTGCTCCACCACGATCACATCGTTCCCCGTCCTCATCTCTGGCGACGAGCAGGAGGAGGAGGAGGAGCACGAGGACGTGTCGACATTTTCTTCGAAGACAAGGAGCCCCTCCAGCGCCTTGGGTCCTCGGTCACCTGTGGTAGTGGGGGCATGGTCATCGTCACTATCGTCATCATCGTCATTAATAATATAATCAGCAATATTGCTGTCATAACATAATCATCACCTTGATCATCATCAGTCACACTTTGTGTGTGTAGCACAAGCGAGGCTGCCCCCTTCTCCTGCTGCATGTTTCATGATGTCAGGAATTGTCAGATTCCGGGCCACGATTCGAGAGTCAATTCTTTATTGTCTCACTGTCTGCCACCGCCAATGCGGCGGCGTCACCTGCCCCGTCTGTCTCGCCCGTCTCGCTTGCTCCGTCTCTCCTGCTGTGCGCTCCGTCTCGTTTCATCCATTTGCTCAACGGTAACAATTCATAAACCATTTGCACAACCCTTGACCGGTCACCCGCTCTGCGCCCGGCCCCGTGTGTCCATCACGAGCCGGACGAACGGGTCAACTCCATCAACCCTCGAATCACGACCACGTATGGTGAACCACAGATCCTCGCAGCCGCGATTCCACGCACGCAACGGTGACCATACATGCTCAGTAGGGGGCATCCCCCCCCCTCCCACTGTGACCCCCACCCTCTCCCCGACCCCCACCTCTCCCGGTGAACGGCAAGATTTGGGCGTCGGCCAAAGTGGCCCCCTCCTCCAGGTGGCGGCTTAAGCGGTCCAGCCAATCAGCATCGAGCGCGGAGAGGGCATGTCCACGGCGGGTGACTCTGATTGGCAGCGTGTCCGTGTAGTAGGCGGGACCGGGGCGCTGGTCCTCCGGCACGTTGTAGAGGAGGAACACGCGCAGGTCTGCAGCAACGGTGGGGGGAGGGGGGTGAATGGGGGGGGTTAGGGAAGGTCAAATACGGGGGGACCATTTTTACTTGGGTGAGCAACAGGGTTGGGACGACGTGTGTGCGAGTCTGAGCGTGCCGACCTTCATAGGTGCTTGCTAACAGCACTTGCCCCAAGAGCGTGTATGACGATGAGGGGGCTCTCTTTGTCTTTGTGCACCTTATTCCTCTGCGAGAGGGAGGTGTGTGGGTGGGTAGGTAAGCAGGTAGGTGGGCGAGTAGGCACATGTCGCTAGGAGGTAGGTAAATAAGGTGGGCGAGTCAATGGCTGTGGGGATAGGTGTGCAGGCCATCAGAGGTAGGCAAGAATGTGAATAGGGGGATCGGTAGGGATTTAAGCGAGTAAGCAGGTGGATGGGTATGTAGCATGGAAAACTAGCACACAGGGAGGCAGGCAGGTAGATGACCACGCTACCCACATATAAACCGCCGGGTGAGCACCCGGTGTGACTGCACATCTCCTTGGAAACGCGGGAGACCTGGGCGCTTACGGGCCCACAGATCCCACGCCGTTCCCCCGGAACGTGCGTCACACGTCCCTCGCCTGCTCGCCCCAGCGCCCGTCGCTGTACGTTGGCGAGGACGGATCTCTGTCCCCGCTTCGTGTGCTGCTCGCTCCACCTGCTGCTCAGCGCCCAGCGCGATAGCGCGAGGACAGCGACACCAACGCGGCACAAGGGGGCACCACGGCCACCCGCACCACCGCTACCGACGCCGCAGCAGGAGCTCGCCGGCAGGGGGAGTCCAGTGCCCGTGGAGCAAGGCATGGGGATTGAGTGCCCGTGGAGCAAGGCATGGGGATTGAGTGCCCGTGGAGCAAGGCATGGGAATTGAGTGCGCTATGAATTCACCTCAACATTGGAGAAACGGTTTCAGCTCCGTGAGGGTCCTGTGATTGTTATGCTGCAGAGCCTCAGGAAGGTCTTGAGGTAGAAATATTGGATGGTACTCGCCAAAAATAAAACTCCTTGTTTTGTGAATTACCAGAAATATTGTTCTCGTGCGTTTTTTTGAATCTGTAATTTATTGGTGAATCTTGCTGGAGGAGGATTATCGCGTTGGCCGGGCGCGAGTGCCGTCGTTTTACCATAGCCACCGCCGTGGCCGCCGCTCTCCGTCGATTCCCCCTCGAGTTCGCGCGCCGCTGCCGCCTCCTCCTCCGGCGAGTCTTCCCTCCCTGGCGCCGCTCGCGCGTCGGGCGTCGTCTCGGCGAAAACCTCGTCGTCCTCCTCCTCGTCCGCCTCCCCCTCGCCGGCGGCGGCGGCGCCGTGCTCCGCCTCGCGGGATGCCCCGTTGCTCCGTCTCGCGGGCGGCGTGGCGCGCTCGTCCGAGGCGAGCGAGCGGGCGGACGGGAGCTCGCCGGCGACGCTGCGGCCGGAGCAACGGGGCAGCGAGCCGGCGCCGCCGGGGGAGTACTGTGCGACGGCACCCACGTACGCGTGGCCCCGCTCCACCGCCGCCTCCAGAGACTAAGGGCGGCGCGGGGGGGCGCAGGTGGGGGGGGGGAGGTGGGGGGCAGGTGGGGGGGAGATGGGGAAATTGAAAGGCAGCATGCGGAAATGGAGAGAGAGATGTGAAGACAGGAAGATGGAGAGGCAAGGGGATAAAAATGCAGGGAGACAGCAAAATGTGGGAGATGGCAAAACAGCGAAAACACGAGACATGGAGATGGTGAGATGGTGAGAAAAGGAGACGGGTGAGAGCGAATGAGAATAGACACGATTGAGCACAACAACCCCATCAATAGCCATGTATGCAGAGCCAGTGATGTAAACTCCACATAACTATGGCAGGGATCAGTCTGTGCATCGCACAACTGACGTTAACACTCCACCAGGCGGTGAACCGGAAACTCTGTGGCTGAATTCTGGGTGACGGTGCCCGCCCCGACCGACCTTCTTGAGGAAGGTCTTGAAGGCTTCTGTGGTCAGCTCCGGGCCGGAGAGCGGACACTCCTCCACCAGGAGCCGGAACCTCCCTGGAGGCTCCGAGCCGGATCCAGCGCTGCCCCGGGTGACAGTGAATGCACAACCACAAATGGGCACAGGCGCCGGTGAACACGATGGTTTGTGTCAATGGTGAACACGATGGTTTGTGTCGATGTTGAACACAATGGTTTGTGTCAATGGTGAACACGATGGTTCGTGTCGATGGTGAACACGATGGTTCGTGTCGATGGTGAACACGATGGTTCGTGTCAATGGTGAACACGATGGTTCGTGTCAATGGTGAACACGATGGTTCGTGTCGACGGTGAACACGATGGTTCGTGTCGACGGTGAACACGATGGTTCGTGTCGACGGTGAACACGATGGTTCGTGTCGACGGTGAACACGGTGGTTCGTGTCGACGGTGAACACGATGGTTCGTGTCGACGGTGAAAACGATGGTTCGTGTCAATGGTGAACACGATGGTTCGTGTCGACGGTGAACACGATGGTTCGTGTCAATGGTGAACACGATGGTTCGTGTCGACGGTGAACACGATGGTTCGTGTCGACGGTGAACACGGTGGTTCGTGTCGACGGTGAACACGATGGTTCGTGTCGACGGTGAACACGATGGTTCGTGTCGACGGTGAACACGATGGTTCGTGTCGACGGTGAACACGGTGGTTCGTGTCGACGGTGAACACGGTGGTTCGTGTCGACGGTGAACACGGTGGTTCGTGTCAATGGTGAACACGATGGTTCGTGTCAATGGTGAACACGATGGTTCGTGTCGACGGTGAACACGATGGTTCGTGTCGATGGTGAACACGATGGTTCGTGTCGACGGTCAAGGTCTCGCCCCGCCTCCCCCTCCTCCTCGTGTCCTCAGTCTCAGTTCCCAGGGCTTCACTTCACACGAGTTAGTGACCCAGGAAATATTTCCGCACCCGGGACACCACATCCAGTATACCCCACGCTCACATCATGTAAACAGCATTGGTGCTCACATCCTGTAAAGAGGATGTGAGAACCAATGCCTCAATGCTCATGTGAGAGCAGGAAGTCACTTTGACCTTTGACATTTCTGCGTGTGAGGCCCGGAGAGTGGGCCTGTGTTTGCCTGACCTGAACTGAGGGGGGTGAGCAGGAACGGCTGTTTGGCTGTTTCCTTGTTGGGTTTCCTTGTGAGCCTAGACTCCGGTTTGTTTATTAATGACAATCGATGGGGAATTGATTGCAGTGCAAGTGGGGCGTGGAATCGATTCCCTGACCTATAGGAAGTGGATAAAATCAGGCAGCACGTGGGCAGCAGGGAGAGGGGAGGCAGAAGACCCCCACTGGCGAGACAGACTCCCCATGGGCGAGCCAATGGCTGAAGACGCCTCACCTACCAACTCACATACTCACCTACCTACTACTGCCCTACCCATCCACATAATCACTCACCCACCATCAACTCACTGATTCAGCCACCACAATTCCACCAACCCACCCAACCACGAACCCAGTGGGTGATGGACGCACGAGGACGAGGCGGAGCATCTGGTCGAGCAACGAGCGGCGGCGTCCCCACGGCAACAGCAGCGGGTGGACCGCCGCTACCCAAAATCCCCGGCGACCGAGGTCGTGGAGCCGCGCCGGGAGGTCGAGCACAGACGCCACGGCCTGCACGCCCTCGGGCAGCGCGTCTGCACGCCACGCCGCAAACAACAACTACAACAACCACAACAACCAGAGCACACACTCCTCGGCCTATCCACCGTCGCGCAGTGCGTCTGTGTATCCCTTAACAATAATAATGACAACAACAACAGCAGCAGCAGCGCGCTCTGCACAGCCTGCATGCCCTGGGGTAGAGCGTCTGTGGCCACGCAGCGACAAACGACTTCAATTACAATCAATAACAAAGCAAAATTACAAAATGAAGTTACAGAAACATGAAACAGATAAAGAGGGTGCCTTGTAGCAATGTGTAAACAGGTGACGCCATATGAGTCCAATGCAGCAGTGCACGCGTCTACTGGATCTGGATTTTGAGGAATCTGCATCGTTGGATTCTTAAATCTACTGTGGGGGTCTCTCTGCTGAAGCAAGAGAGACTTTGACGAAGCCAATGATGGCAATTCCACATTCCCATTTCTGGAGCCAGTTTCAAAACGAGACATTCGCTGTTAAATCCCCACACTGTGGCGTTCGATTCATGGACCTCAGAGAAGAGGGTGTGATGATGATTTATGAGTGATGATGGGGAAGACGCTGATGATGATGAAGCTGATGATGATGGATTATTATGCTAGAAGACAATTATTCCACTTATGGAAATGATGATGACAATGATGCTGACGATTAGTCTTCTGCTGTCTATATGATGAAGATTACAATGATGATGGTGATTATTCTGTTGCTGCTAACGCTACTGGTGCTGCTGATGATATGCATGATGACGATTACCACGACAATGATCATGATAGTGATGATATCATGACGATGGTGATGATGATCACGGTGATGATAATCATGATGACAAAGGCGATGATGATGATGGCAATGTTGGTGATGATGATACGAGTTGACCCCCGACTACACTATGACCTCGTGACCTTCACACTGTGAGCCGTCTCTGTGAGCTAGGAGCCATGTGGCTGCCAGGGATCATTATCTCTCAGGGTACACAGAGAACACACCGCTCGCTCCGTGATGGACGCTAATGGCTGAGACAGCGTAATTGGTGCAAAATTTAAAACAAAGCAGATGAGACCGAACAACTCGTAAACACGCCTGGCACGGGCCCCAGAGCAGGCCGGGGGAGAGGCCGGGGGAGAGGCCGGGGGAGTGGCCGGGGGAGAGGCCGGAGGAGTGGCCGGAGGAGAGGCCGGAGGAGAGGCCGGGGGAGAGGCTGGAGGAGAGGCTGGGGGAGAGGCCGGAGGAGAGGCCCACACTCTTTAACTTCACGGCCGCCATGGACGCTGCCTCCCAATCCTCTACCAATGGCAATGAAGCCGAACGGTCAAGCAGTGGAACACTTGCAGATATTTAGGACGAAACAATCAGCAGCATCGCTGCGGAGACTCTGAAGCGACACGTCCCATGCGCCTGCGGGAAGATGCCAAATGCAGAGCATAGAGATCTTCTGCAGACGGAAGCATTGACGTAGAACAATGAATAAGCGGGCACAATATACGCAAAGGAGGCGATGTGTCTGTCATCTCTTCTGTTACGCACGCTCTCCACAATGACGCCCACGACTAGCCTGTATTGCGTGTTGTATAATTTTTGCGTCGAACTTGGACCTTGTGCCCTTAAACATCCGGCTATCACCAGATTTTTAAGAGATCATTTCCATTCTTGGAGCATCACGGGGGGTGAAGGGGAAAGCACGTCCCAGAGACGGTGATCGGACTTCACAGCGGAAAAATAAAGAATGCAGCAGCGGCAGCAGCAGCAGCCGCGGCAATGGTGAGCTCCAGCGTTCAACAGTCGGGTACATCAATGCATAATTCAGGAACCCTAACAGAGTGCGAATACCATTACCGCATTCAAATTGCCCTAATTGCGAGCACTGCGGAGAGTTCATCGCGCACAGCTGCAGAGGAGCGCACTGGCGCTCGGGAGCAGGGTCCTGCCAACAACGAGCTCTTTACAAAAACGTGGAGACACGAGAGCTCCGGGCCACGTGCTCGCACGCACGCCGCTTCTTGAGTTATACGCCCAGCCGCTGTGAACGTGCATGCGCACCACCACCATCCTCCCCACCGCATCCATCTTTGTCTTCCTCTTCACATTCTACCTGCAGTAGAGCTGCCTGTGACTATGGCACGACGTGCCGGTGCTCCACGCCACTTCCTTCCCCGTAGTCTCAACCTCAGCATCTTTCTGTTAATTTCTTTTGCATCCCATGATTTTCAACGCTGCTTTGTTCATCGCGTTTCCTGTCCATCCCATTGCCAACGTTCTCTTTAAACACCCACCGTATATATTCGACCGACGGGCAAAGGAATCGGCTCCACAGAAGGTAAAGTGAAGCAGAGAAAGAGAATGGAAGACGAGGTGAGAGCAGCAGCAGCATGGAGACGACATCGCAGAGATCGGAGGCCACAGCTGGACACGAGCAGCTGGTGACGGAGGGAATGGAGAAGGATGGGGGGAGGCCATTGCCCAGGAGAGGGAAGTTACAGGCCGACTGGGGTTGACGGCGAGGGGGTAAAGCGAGCGAGGCGCGGGGTTACCGAGCGCCGGCGTGCGTCGCTCGCCCCCCCGCGTGACCGCTTCGTTAGCCGTGGCCCCAACGGCCGACGCAGCTCTGCAAGGCACAGGCGGCGCTGGGCCCTCGCCCAGGAAGCCTGGATCCTGCGATAGAGATCGCATTTTTCGGCTCGCATATATTTATGCGATGCGGCAGGCAGTGTGTCCGGGAAACAGGGTTGGGGGGGGGTAGAGGGGGAGGGCCCCCCTCCCAGCAGCTGTTGCCACCGCTCCCCCCTCTCCTCCCCCAGCCGCCCCCATTTACCCGCCCGAGTGTGGATGCCGGTGCCGGCTGAGCGACGCGTGTGTTTAAAATTCCAATTCTCGCCTCTAGTTTCATACATGGGCCTCCGTCCAAGCTTGTGCAAAGCGCGCGCGTGTGCGTGTTTGTATGCGTGCCTGTTTGTGCACATGTGCGCATGCATCTGTGCGTGTGTTCGCGTGCGTGTCAGCAGGTCGAAGGACTCTTTGCTCCAGCAGAATGACGGCACAGGTATTTGTACCGGAGGAGTGATGGCACAATGGTTAGCGCGCCGCCCTACCAACCCCGCCACCCGAGTTAGATTCCTGGCCGTAGCCAACGTCAGTGGCGAGCGACATCTGAACCAATCCTGCCCCTCCCCCCCACACCAGCCCACGGGGTGCACAGCAGCCAGGGGACTCAGCCGGGCAGCCAGGGGACTCAGCAGGGCAGCCAGGGGACTCAGCCGGGCAGCCAGGGGACTCAGCAGGGCAGCCAGGGGACTCTGTATGGCAGCCAGGGGACTCTGTATGGCAGCAAGATGACTCTGTACAAACCGAGGTCTGTCGCATTGACTTCACGTCCACATTTTGCCGAGGCCCAGCTGCCTCACTGGTCAAATGAGAACAGGGCTTTGTTGAAGTTATTTGATGGGCCCAAGCCAACGGTGTAATTTCCACATTCTTATGGCAGGAATAATTATATAGCTGATCTCTCCCAGGGCTGCGGTTCAACCTTGAGAGACGTTTGCGTGGCTGGAGCAAACAGAGAATGGCACAGACGAGTCCCAAGTTAAACCACCAAGGTTTAACTTGCTGAGGCAAGTGCTGTTAGCTAGTAGTACCGAAGACGGCCGGCACGGCACACAAGGGGATGGCTGGCCAGCACCACGCCCAGCTAGCTGCCTTTGTCTCCCGAGTGACGATGTTTACACATCGCACCAGGTACTCATTTTAGTCGACCATGGGGGAGGCCCAGGACCGGTTCACTAATGGCCGTGAGCAGGAACTGAGCTCAGATCACTCAGTTTGTAGCGCAGTGCGCTAACTACCGCACTAACTACTGCACTAACTACTGCACTAACTACCGCGCTAAACTACCGCACTGACTACTGCACTAACTACCACGCTAACTACCATGCTAACTACTGCACTAACTACTGCACTAACTACCGGGCTAACTACTGCACTAACTACTGCAGTAACTACCGGGCTAACTACTGCACTGACTACTGCACTACTGCTCCTTTGCCGTGTGTTCTTTATGGGCGATCGTTGCTGGTGTCTGGATTTTGTTTGAATCCACTGGGCCTAAATTGAGTGCCGTAGTACCTGCATTCCTTCATTGTTGTGCTCTGTTCTGTGTCATTGCTTTCGTCACTGTGGTGACCCAGGTCCCTCTTGTAGATGAAAGTCTGTTCTGGTCGCTTCTCACCTGACCATACTCTACAAGTCTACAACATCCTTAACACATTCCTGCGGAGGGAGCTGGTAGGAACGTTGGGTTGCTCGGTCAATGGCGGCGTGGTGTATTCCGCAAATACTGTATGCCCGACTGTGAGGGCGGGCACAAGCCGGCGTGAGTAGGTTAAACGTTGAGTTTTATAAGGGCACCACGGGGTGACCAGCCCCTCCCCACCCAGCCCCTCCCCTCCCTCCCCACCCAGCCCCTCCCCACCCTCCCCTCTCCACCCAGCCCCACCCCTCCCATTTTTGGATGCACGACGGACGGACGGACACAATAATCCCCTGTGGGCTGGTGTAACCAGGAGGTTCCTACCAGTATAATTTCTCCTGTGAGGTCATCATGAACATGAGCACTGGGGAGGGGCAGTGCTGTTCTTTGCTGGCCGTTTGTCGTTCCGCGCCTTTGGGCCTGCGCCCAGCGACTGTGTTCACACACAAAAGTCAAACACGGCCGGGCGCGATTGATTCCGAGCCGTTGATCCCGTGGCGTGCCACGCCGGCCTTAATAGGCGCTCACTAACAACACTCGGCCAGGTAGTGTGCGAGCTAAATAGGAGATGTTTAGCTGGAGTGTGCAGATTGTCCCCACACGCAGCCATATTTTAAAGATGGCAATTCTTCTGCTGTGTATCCTACTGCTGTCCCTCCCGGCCATATCTAGTGCCACACTCAACTCTACAAACGGCTACCCTCATTACTTTGCGTCCATACTTGTTGCTTGATTTGCCACTACACCTGC